ACCAAAAACCAAAAAAAAAAAAAAAAGGAACCTGGTTTGGTGATACATGCCTTTAATCCCAGGACTTGGGAGGTAGAGGCAGGAAGATCTCTGAGAGTTCAAGGCCAGCCTAGTCTACATAACAAGTTCCAGGATTATATACTAAGACCTTGTCTCGAAAAAAATATATATATATTTTTTAACATAGATAGCCTATATGGTGAACATTACTCTAGAAAGAGACATGTTATTCTATTAAGATCTCAGAACCTAGCAAGGGGTACCTTCCTGAGTTATTGATTGGGAAGATTCCAGAAGTTCCTGAAACAACACAGGCTATCATTGTTCTTGGTTACCCACCAGAACTAGATGGTAGGTCCTATTGCTTTAGATACAATGGTCTTGGGTTGTTAAACAGAGAAACCAAGCTGGTACTGACCTGAAGGCTTTCTTTCTCCTTGATGACTACCTTTCATATACTGGAAGGTGCTGTGCACGATGCTGAGTCAGAAAAGACATCAATGGCATCCCTGCAGTCAACCATATGATTACTGTTCTGACCTTCCAGGCACTACATGCCCACTGGCGACATTGTGGCATGAAGGTTATGGGGGTGACCAACTGCAATGTTGGAGAAGACAGGTAGGAGGAAGATAACAACCGGAGGATGAGAAGGAGAGTGCTGTGAAATGCTGTTTCCTGGCCACTGGACTCCGGAACTCACTCGTGCTTTGGTGAACCGAATGAGAGCAGGTCAACGAGATCAGTCGGCACTCCAACAGGCAGCTCTAATGGAACTAGGTGGGTTATCAACAAAACCAGAGAGGCCATGAAGGCAGACAGGGATGTGCCGCCAGTTCTTACTTAGGAGGAGTGGAAGGGAGAGGTGGGGTGCATATGATCAAGATGCATGGTGGCTTACAGGTATGAAATCTTCAAAGAAGTTTTTAAATATTTCTTTTTTAAGGTAGAAAAATCACCCAGCATGATGGCATATGCCTTTAATCTCAGTACTCTGAATGCAGAGGCAGGAGAATCTCTTGAGTTTGAGGCCAGCCTGGTCTGTAAAGCAAGTTCCAGGACAGCCAGGGCTACACAGAGAAACTCTATCTCAAAACAATAACAAAAAAACCCCACAAACAAACAAAAAGGTAAAAAATCACTTAAGACTAATGTCAGCCTCTGGCCTCCATGTACGTACACGTATGGGTGAGCATCCACACACATAAACATACACGTACATATACAGCTACTCACAAAATAATAAAGGAAGAAAACTTCATGTTCATGGGAAGGAAGACTCAAACCTATGAAAATGTCAGTTCTTCCCAACCTGATCTCGAATTAGTGCAATCTCAGTCAAAATTCCAGCAGGTCATTTTGTGGTTATCATATTTAGATGATTCTAGTGTTTACATAAAAAACCAAGAGACCTGCTATAGCCAACATAACCACTAATGAAAAATAACACAGCTACAAGACCTACAATAGCTGATGCCAAGGCTCACTCTAAAGCCACAGCAACCAACATGGTGGTATTAATAAAAGAACAAATGTATCACTGGCAGGAATATGGAGCCCCGAAGTTTATTGTCACACAGTCAAATGTCTCTGAAAGGAGCAAAAACCAAAGACAAATACTGTAGGTATTTTCTCTCGTATGTGAAACCTAGATATAAAATTGTGTATGTATTCACATATGTGTTTGTAGCTCATGAAACTAGAAACAGGATTAGGAGGGGAGGAAGAGATCTTAATGGTGCTGGGAAGTAGAGTAATGGAAGGCCTGTACTAGGAAAGCAGAAATGGACACTACTAACAGGGATGAGCAGCTGAAGGTCGAGCGGGCACACGGAGAGCAGTGGTAACAGAAGAGAACAGGGTAATCTACACCATGATAAATCCATGATTATGTACACCAACCTGAAAGATTAGTTGATTAATTAAATATTGAAACAAGATTTCATGATGAAGCCCTCCCTGGCCTGGAACTCGACATAAAAACCAGACTGTCCTCTGACTGAGAGATCTGGCTGCTTCTGCTTCTCAGTGAGAGGCATGTGCCACCATGCCCTGCTTAAAAAGATTAATTTTCTTTCTTTTTTTTTTTTTTTTAGGTTTTTCGAGGCAGGGTTTCTCTGTGTAGCCTTGGCTGTCCTGGAACTCACTCTGTAGACCAGGCTGGCCTCGAACTCAGAAATCTGCCTGCCTCTGCCTCCCAAGTGCTGGGACTAAAGGCGTACACCATAACTGCCTGGCCAAAAGATTAATTTTCTAACAGGAGCAAATGCAATAAATGGAAGACAAGCAATCCTTCAAGAATTGGTCTTGAATAACCCAAAATCCATGTGCAAAAAGAGAAAGGGGCAGGTAGGACATGGATAACCAATCTTACATTCTTTCCAAAAAGCAATTCAGTAAATCACAGAGCTAAATATAAAGTGCAAAACTTCCCCATTTCACTAGGGAAGCTGAGGCCCAGAGATGAAATTAGATGAAGTTGTACACAGCTCAGGCTAGAACAAAATTCAAACCTGACTGCGCCATTCCAAAGCCCTGTTTCCTTCACCAAACTTTGCCTCTCCTTGATGGATCAGTCCTCACTTTTATAAGAAACACAAGCTTGGCACAGGGGCATACACCTCAATCCTCACTATTATAGACTGAGGTGGGGGGCTGCTGCACTGGAGATAAGCCTACAGCTACACGGAGACTGTCCTCCCCTAAAAGAAAAAGAAAAATCACTGCATTTAGATTCATGCTAAGTGAAAGTACAGTGCTCTTACCACAAAAAAAAAAGAAAGAAAGAAAGAAAGAAAGAAAGAAAAGAAAAAATGCAATTGCCAGCTTTCATACTTAGTTTTGTTTCACAGCAGGAGGACCTTAGTCAGAGATCATTATGGATATCATGTAGTTCTAATCAAGCAAACCAAATATTTAGAGCCCGAGTCTTTTTGTAAACGTCCATCATTGACAGACATAACTAACTCCCTTCTAAGGGTTTAAGTCTCTTTATTATCCATCCATCTCATTAGCTCACGAATCTCATTCATTTAGTAGATGCTGGCAGAATGGTGGTATCAGATACCTTTAATCCCAGTACATGGGAGGCACAGGGAAGTGGAGTTTGAGGCCAGCCTGGTCTACAAAGTTGAGTTCCAGGACAGCCAGTCTGGAACCTGTGTAGAAGAGAAAGCCTTTTAGATACGGGATGCAGAGGTGGAGGTACCCACTGCTCCTCACCATAGGCTGTCTGTCTGTGGAGTGCTGTACTGGAGAACTAACAGTGGGAGGAGAGCATGCAGCCTCATCATTTCTGATCATTCCCTATTTCAAAAAAGTAAAAGTGAACAGGTGAGTGACAAAATATTTTTTTATTGAACCCAACACATCAAAAATTATGCCAGCAAACAGGTGGAACCCTGTTTACTATTAACCCTGTTACTATTAATGAGGTATTTTACTCTCTTTGGGGAAGGGTTGGGTACTTGTCAGTGTGCAGTGTTCAGTTACAGCATCTCTCACTTCAGACTGCTCACATTTCCAGCGCTTGCTCAGCAGCCACATAATACGGCTTGTGATGAAAGGCTGGCTAGCACAGGGATAGATGAAATTCGATTGGGTTAAGATTCTCCAGTCAAAATGTTGATGCTTCCTCAACTGAAGCCCCTGAGCCTCTGCTAAGGCCTTTCGATTCCCAAACTCAGGCTTATCTTGCTGCAAGGTAAGAGAAGACAAAGAGCCTTCACCTCATTTCAAACACCAGGATCTAGCTGCCCTCAGTACAGCAAACGACACTCAACCTTTAACTCCAAAGAGCCTCCCTCAATGTTCATTCCCCAGTTCTGTAAAAGACCTTGTCTACCAGCTCACTCTCCTCTGTCATTTTTATCACACAGATAATTTTTAAAATAAGTGATTTCAAACATACACTTTCTTCTCCATCCCAAGGCCACTTTGATACAGACAACAGCCTTTAAAGTGGGTTGGCTTGTCTTAGTCTCTCCCCTGACCCGTTTCAACTGTAGTTAACTATTCCCTAGTACCCCTCATAGCGTTCTTTTCCTATAGGATAAAGGCTAATTCTACCTCACAAATAGAACTTTGCTCCACGATCTGCTTTTTATTTAACTAACAAAGCCCAATTGTTTGCCCTTTCCAGACGGAACAAGGTCACTTACCTCCCGGCCTGGATACTTTTATTTTTGTAAAAATAGCCATCTGAAACTCACAAAGCCTACTTGAGGTTTAGAAGCAATGGAACGCTAAATGACATATAATCGGGGTCACTGTTCCTGTCGCTCCTTCACATTTCCTAATTACCTTTTTAATTAAAGTAGTGTCTTTTAATTCAGCAAAATTCATGTGGACAGGAGCAGAAAACACAGGTAGAATGACTCGAGATTTCCTTCCCTGGGATCACTGCAATGATTTCTTCAATTACTACCTTCAATGTCTAACAATCTGAGAAACTCTAGGAAGTTCGCAACGCCCCAAGCAGCCACTCGAACCCAACAAATACTCAGTTCAAGGCTTCCGGGCTGGAACAGAACAGCGACACACGTGGCGACCGGAGGGGGCGGGGCCAGAAGGAGCAAGTCGGTTACTGCGCCTGCGCACTGCCTCCGGCTCAAAGACCCGTATTTAAAGAGACAGGCGGTCTAGTCATCGTGCGAGGCCTGTGGCCTTGTGGGCTTCTGATCCGGTGGCCCGTGTGGAGCGTCAGAGCCAGGGCAGCCGAGAAGGCAGGTGAGGGGCGGTGCGGCGCGGCGGACCGCGGTGCGCCGTGTGGGGAGGGCCGTGGCCGAGCGCGGCGTGGCTGGAGTGGCCGTGGCTCCTCCCCCGCCCGCCGCTCAGCCTGGGGGCACACCCTCCGTGACGTGGCGGCCCCCCGGGAGCCCACGGGAGGCCCGCGGCCCCCGGGACCCCAAGCGGGCACCCGGAGGCAGGATGCTGCCTGCGATAGAATGGGCATCCTCAGGGAGTCGGGACCGGGCCGCTGCTGGTCCCTACCCGCCGCCTTGCTGCACGGCCACGGCTCGCCCTCACAACCTGTGCTGCTTGCTCTTCGGGGCCCAGGGGCTCCCGAGCCTCCCTGCGTCAGTCTCCCCCTATAGTTAATTGTCGTATCCCGGGCTGGGCGATACGACACTCTACCCACCCTAATCTGCGGAAAGTTGAACTACTCGCCCCGAGCTCCTCCCGAGCCCTGTTGGCCTTCATTTGCCTCTCTGGTTCTTAACCGTTAGGGCTTGTGTGACCCACTGAGTCGGCCAGTTACGGACCTCCCCTCCCCCAAGTTGAACATTGTCAAATACACAAGTTTGGTGTATATCCTCCGGGAGTTCAGAACTCCACCTCGGGCCTGCCCTTGTATTTGTTGTAGTTTTCCTAACCACCCCATGAAGTAGTTCTAATCTTTGGGGTTTGTTTTTGTTTTCCTTTTGAGACGGTCTTCGGTATGTACCCCTGGCTAGACAGAAGTTTAGTAAGTAAACCGGACTGTCTAGCTTCGAACGCACAGCAATCCTATCTTTGCCTTCAGAGTGATAGGATTATAGACGAGCTATAACTATATCCCACCATAACTAGCTCTTTGTCTTGTTTTTTAAAAATAAAACAGGAGCCGGAGTGTGGTAACACGCCTTTAATCCCTGCACCCAGAACACTAACTTGCTAGTGACTTCCAGGACAGCCAAGGCTACATAGAAAGATCCTGTCTCAAAAAACGAAAAATAAACTGTCATGCTTGGTGGCTCACACTATAATCCCAGCACTGGAGGTGAGAGGATGGCCGACTAAGGGTCTTGTTGGAGGAAACCAAGTCACCTGGTATCTGCCCCACCTTCCCTCCTCCCTTTAGATGGGTGGTAGGCTTGGCCTCCAACCCCTTCTTCAATAGTATACCTGTTGTGCTCTGTTCTGTGTCGCACAGCAGCGAGTAAAGCCAGCTTGCTATTCTGACCCAGTATCCTTTTTACTTCTCAGCAGAGTTTGGACTAAGAATAGTTTCCAGTAAATTGGACATTAAAACTGTAAAGCCACTTAAATAATTATAAATATAAGAAGGGGTAGGAATAATCATTTTCCACTTGAATTGGTTCATCACTTGCTTAGATTCTTACAGTCCTGTTATTTCAACCTTCTCTGATTTAGGTTGCCAAATTAAGCAAGGGAATTGATTATTCTGTTTCTAAGGACTTTTAGAACAACTATTCCTTGAATTAGGTACTACTGTGAGCTGCATTTTACAGATGAAATAGGAGCAAAGAGGTAAAGTAACTGAACTGAGGTCACACAGCTGATAAATTGCTAAGTAAGGTTTTGAACTCAGGCAGTCAATCTGATTATAGACTCTGATTAGTTGCCTCTCTCTAAGGGGGCCTTCTTCTGAAATCCCAAAACTGTTATAGTGGCTTAATTGTTTTCTGAAAGTGGCTCATATTTCATATGGAAACTTCATAAACATGATGTAATTTTTCTTGGTTTTTAAGACAGAGCTTCAGGATCTTGGTAATATTTAAAGGTCACCAACCATTACGACTTTACAATCAGTCTCTACAATGTTGATGCTGCATGCCCCTTTGTAAACTGGTTTTTCCTGTATTGGTACTCTGGGTGGTAAATATTTAATGCATAGGGAAGTGCTTGGTTAATCACGTGCTCTGTATGAGATTCTAGCCATTGAGAAATTGGAAGCCTGGATTCTTCATGTCTGTCTGTCTGTGTTTCCACCCTTTTATGCAGCTATATGACTTTGGCTTTCAAGATCCTCTTCCCGAGAAACCTTTGTGCCCTTGGAAGAAAAGAACTGTGCCTGTTCCCAGAACAGAATTACTGGGCTACCAAAAGACAGTTCAGCCAGTGGTTGGAAACAAATCTCCTTTGTGGGTTCTGCCTCCAGAGAAGAAAGCCTGTCCTATCTTTCCAGAGAAGCTATCTAAGACCACGTGCCACCCACCTTATTTTCTGGCCAGGGTCGCATGTGGGACTCTGTACTGGCCCCTGTACGATGGCGGAGCAGCGGTTCTGTGTGGACTATGCCAAGCGGGGCACAGCTGGCTGCAAGAAATGCAAGGAGAAGATTGTAAAGGGTGTATGCCGCATTGGCAAAGTGGTACCCAACCCCTTCTCAGAGTCTGGGGGTGATATGAAAGAGTGGTACCACATTAAGTGTATGTTTGAGAAACTGGAACGGGCACGGGCCACCACAAAAAAAATTGAAGACCTCACAGAGCTGGAAGGCTGGGAAGAGCTGGAAGATAACGAAAAGGAACAGATAAGCCAGCACATTGCCGGTGAGGGGAGAACCTGCTCTCAGCTTGCTGATCGTAGACTAGAGTCTAGGAGATTTTTTTCTTTGTGCGTCCTCCTTGGACATAATTTCATACTCACAAACTAGTTATAAGAATAAGAACACTCAGGCTCTCTACACAGATTTCCTTCTTGATAGCTGTCAGTTTGCTTTATTGTTTCTATTTATATGTTCATTCTTGCTTCCCTATCAGTCTTGGTGTTTATTGAGCCATTCAGAGAAAGTTGTGTCACCAGGCCCCAGAGGTACCCAGTATGTATCTTAAGAATAGGATCTTTTCTTCTGAAATCACAGTTTACTTGTGAGCCTCAGTAAGCTTATCTGTATATTGTTCTGTCAGTTGACTGAAGGCTATAATTTAGTAGTACATTTTCCTCCATTGCAGGGTTCAGGTCTAGACTCAGACTGGGTATCGCAATTAATTGTCATGTTTCTTTGGCCTCCTTTATTCTGCAGCATTTCCAGAGGTTTTTTGTTTTGTTGTTTTATTTTTGTTTTTTTGAGATGTGTTTTTGGTATGCCATGTGGCTTGGGCTGGCCTCAGACTTGGAGCAATCTTCCTGTCTTGTCTCCTCAGGACTAAGATTACAGGCTTGTGTTACCAAGCCTGGTACTCCATGGTCTGTCATTTAGATATTGATATTTTTAAAGAATACACGCTACCACCAACCTTTTAGCTGTCACCTTGTTAACTTTATGAACTATCAGATTACTACTTTTTTCCAGAGACTTACAGATCAATATTATACTCAAGTTTGGTACTTAATTGTCCCATATTTGGCCATCTTGCACACTCTTTAGGCTGTCTTCTGTATCCTGTATAACCTAATTTGCTTGTGTGCTCTCTCTCTCTCTCTCTCTCTCTCTCTCTCTCTCTCTCTCTGTCTCTGTCTCTGTCTCTGTCTCTCTGTCTCTCTCTCTCTCTCTCACTCTTTCTTTCTCTCCCCCACCCCCTCTCTTTTTCGAGACAAACTTTTAAGTTTGACTTTAAACTCTGTCTTTTCGGCATCAGCTCTCAGGTCTGAAATTGCATGTCTTCCAACTACCCCTGGCACATCCTTTTCTTTTTGGTTTTTCAAGACAGGGTTTCTCTGTGTAGCCCTGGCTGTCCTAGAACTCACTCTGTAGACCGGGCTGGCCTCGAACTCAGAAATCCGCCTGCCTCTGCCTCTCAAGTGCTGGGATTAAAGGCGTGTGCCACTGCTGCCCAGCTGGCACATCCTTTTCTTTGAGAGTTTTAGTGAGGTGAAGTGGTGGTATGAGCCTGTAATCCTAGGTATTCAGGAGTGAGTTCAAGGCTAGCAAGACTCTTGTCTGAAAACTATCTTCTACGTACTTATGCGTTAGGCGTAAGAGAATGCTCTTGACCACCTTCTGTGTGTCTTTCCTTAGCCTTGGAGGCAGCCGTTCCTCTAAGGAGTCTGGATTCCCATTAATGGAAAAACTATTTTAGAAACTAAAATCTGGATGCTGTATGTTTCATCATTATAGCATATCTTTGATTCTAAGTCCTTGGAACAACTAGAAAGATAAGCATGCATGTATACACAATCACATACATATATTTATATATCTACATACACATGTGTGCTCACTTTTATACTTTTATTTGAGGACTCTCAGTCTCTAAAGTAATAGCTCTAAAGGCTGTGGCCCTAAAGATGGGCCTTCATACTGACTTGTATCTCACTAGGAAGGAAGTACAGTGAACACTCAGATTTCTCTACCTGTGCCAGACAGACATGCTCTGCTTTCTCCATTTTACTTTGTTGTTTCTATATTTTGGGGCTATTCTACAGAGCCAGCCCGAAGTTTTATCTATCAAAATGTGATCACTGCGGCTAGAGGGATGGCTCAGCAGTTAAGAGCAAAGGTGGCTTTTCTAGAGAACCTGGGTTCTATTCCCAGCACTCCCATGTTTTATTCCACAGCCACTCTAATCCCAAGGGATCCAATACCCTTTTCTGCCCACTCTGGGTACCAGGCATACACGTATACACAGACATATATGTGGGCAAAACACCTATGCACATAAAATAAAAATCTTCAAAAATAAAACATTGATTTCTCCCAAATCTGTACTAATTCTTATGTATTTGATAAGAGGTATGCAATTTTGATGAAAATTCAAGTTACTAATAGATATAAATGGTTCAAAATACCTGTTTTCTTTGTTTCTTTCTCTCGACCAATATTCTTTTTTTTTTTTTTTTTTTTTTTTTTTTTTTTTTTTTTTTTTTTGGTTTTTCGAGACAGGGTTTCTCTGTGTAGCCCTGGCTGTCCTGGAACTCACTCTGTAGACCAGGCTAGCCTCGAACTCAGAAATTCGCCTGCCTCTGCCTCCCAAGTGCTGGGATTAAAGGCGTGCGCCACCACCGCCCGGCGACCAATATTCTTTTAACGCCTTCCTCTACTAAAAAAGACTAGGCAGCCTGGAGTCATAATGTAATAGAAACTTACCAAACAAGGATTTGAAAACTGTTGATAAAACATCTAAAAGCTTTCTCGGCAGTCTTTGTCTGAAGGGTACTTTTATTCTTTGTGGGTCCTGTAGACCTGTCTTCTAAGGCAGCTGCCACACCTAAGAAGAAAGCTGCTGTCCAGGCTAAGCTGACAACCACTGGCCAGGTGACATCTCCAGTGAAAGGTGCTTCGTTTATTACCAGTACCAATCCCCGGAAATTCTCTGGCTTTTCAGGTAAGATGTGTTAAGGTGACTTTCCCTGTTAAGGCTCTCTATTTGGTGTCTTAAGTCTCTGGCTCAGTGAAAATACCGTTTTACCGAGTGTCCAGAACTGGCTTCTAGCTGGGCAGTGTGGCCATAGCTAACTCTCAGTGTCCTACTTGGATACAATTTCTTTGTGTACATTAATCTCTTTTATAACATGTTGGTTTATCAGGACTTCTTCTACTTAAAGTTATTACCTGGGTCAAAAAGATTTTTTTTTTTCTGACCTGCTTCTCTTGTATTTTTAAATGACAGAATTCTGAGAAATTGTCTCTCCAAACTTGCCTGAACTGAGGATAGGTCATGCATAAAACATTCTCCTGTGATCCCTCTTGATATTCTGTGCCCATATGTTCCTAAAGTTGAGCTGTATGAGCTTAGAGCCAGAGGAAGCTCTGAATGCAAGGTGTTGTGTTTTGTTGGGAGACAGTAGGGCCCAGTGATAAAGCAGGAGGACTTGGGATTTAATGGGCTCTGGATTCGGATTCCATCTTTTATCTCTTACTTAAGTCTTGGCAAGATAAACGGTAATTTGTTATCATGCACACACGTAAGTAACTTGTTTCTGTTGAATAACAAACTACCGTTTGTGGACATGGAATCAGTGAATCGTTGCTAGAATTTATGCTGCATATAGGACTTGAGAGGGTTGTTTATTGGCTGTAGGTAAGAAAAAGCATTGGCCTAGGGGCTTTGTCCTTCACTTAACCTGAGGAGGTGCTTTTCTGTTACGCTCGTGCTCATTCTGTGTATGGACTGAAGTTTAGGCTGACAGTGAAGCTAGTATTACATTGATATCTGTTTGTCTCAGTAGTGTGTTATTTACCCTTTATTGTTTGAGATAAACAATTTTTTTTTTTTTTTTTTTTTTTTTTGGTTTTTCGAGACAGGGTTTCTCTGTGTAGCCCTGGCTGTCCTGGAACTCACTCTGTAGACCGGGCTGGCCTCGAACTCAGAAATCTGCGTGCCTCTGCCTCCCAAGTGCTGGAATTAAAGGTGTGCGCCACCACCGCCTGGCTGAGATAAACAATTCTTATGGCTGTCTCAATTGAAGAAAATAACAAAATGAAACCTTTGGACTTGAGTAATCTGGAGGTTCAAAGAATCCTAGATGTAAAGTCAGGAGAATGGAGGTTTGGCCTGTGCTTGACAGCTTGGTGCTTTGAGCATGTGTCTATGGCTTTGTCAGTGAATCAAGATATTAATCCTGTCAGAGGACTATGGGAGCTAACATTACAGAAATGATGCCTGGTTTTGTAGAAGTTTTATGATACACGCATGCATGCATGCATGCACAGTTTGTTTTGTTTAAGAGACAGTCTTGGGCTGGAGAGATGGCTCAGCCATTAAAGGCTACTCCCAACCCAAAAAATATAAGAGAAAGGTCTTCTCGTTCAGCCTGTTCTGAAATTAAGATCCTCCTGTCTCTGCTTACTGAGTGTTAGAAGTACAGGCATGTACTACCGTCTCTGGCAGATTTTATTATTTGAAAACTTGCCGGGTGGTGGTGGCGCATGCCTTTAATCCCAGCACTTGGGAGGCAGAGGCAGGCGGATTTCTGAGTTTGAGGCCAGCCCGGTCTACAGAGTGAGTTCCAGGATAGCCAGGACTGCACAGAGAAACCTTGTCTCAAAAAAGACCAAAAAAAAAAACCAAAAAGAAAAGAAAATTCTAGTTTGTGCTTGGTAGTGGGTCAGTGATAGGGATGCAAAAGATTCCAGGTGACACTAAAGATGGCACAGTACAGGGAGAGCCTTGAACTTGTGCATGGAGTTTAAAAGAGTTGATAAGAACAGGGTGTTCTCCTTTGTGAACCTGGCTAAATACCAATGCTCTGGAAAGATCTCCACCCCAGATCAGATTCCAGGTCAGAGATGATGACAGACTTACAATTTACAAACCCAAACAAGAAGCCTTAGTCAGCAGCTCCTTGATAGAACAACTCTGCCTTGCTCTTGAAAATGGTCACAAAGAGGTGAGACTCAATCACTAAGGTTTCTCTCAGATAAAGAAAGGTGCCTTTTTGACAATAAGAAAAGATGAGCTGGGACACACTGGTGGGCCCTGACTCTTTTGCTGGCTTCCCTGTCTTCACTCTTCTTCCAAGGGGGTAGGTGGTCTTGAAAGCTATCTGCTTTCAGGCCTTGGGTCTCATCAGTAAGAGAACAGTGAACTCTGTAACCTGCTGGGTTTGCAGTAGCACTGACAGTCCACAGTGGCAGTCATTTCAGTTTTACAGGTCCTTTGGTTTCTTCTCTCTTGCTCATCCCTGTCTTTGTGGAGTCAGAATGACAATTGCTCTGAGATCCGCGTGGTTATGGCTTGTGGCATGAAAGCAGCCTTTGTTCCTATGTGAGGTACTCACATACACAGGTGCTTCTTAGTGCAGTCTTCATGCAGTGCTATTGTACTGATTACTTGGCCTCCATAGCTGTACCTGATACACGGATCCAGCACATCTACCTCCAGTGACTCTTTAAAGGGCTTGAATAAAATGACATAGAACCCCCCAGCAAAATTTTAGTGTTTTTCCTTTTTGTGCTTCCCCCAAAAAAGAAAAACGAACCATCTGTGTTGTTTTTTCTTTCCAGCAGCCAAACCCAACAACTCTGAGCAATCCCCCTCAAGCCCTGCTCCTAGGACGAGTCTGTCTGCTAGTAAATGTGACCCTAAGCACAAAGACTGTCTGCTACGAGAATTCCGGAAGCTGTGCGCCATGGTGGCTGAAAATCCTAGCTATAACACCAAGACCCAGATCATCCACAACTTCTTGCAGAAAGGTTCCACAGGAGGTAGGACTGTACATAGACTGAACATGCTTTTCCTCTGCAAGCCTCAGAGCCGTGGCCAGCTTGATGGGCACAAGACACTGGTCTGGGAAATCCTTGATCATTTTGAAATGGGATCATAGATGGGGTCATCACCAGACCCTGCATGTTAGATGGTCAGTTCTGCTTGGGTGCTTGGCTGTTTTCTTCCTCTGTCCTTATTTTGTCCCCAGAAGGCAGAAGAGCCCATCACATTTGATGAATAGACAAATGTCCCACTAGCATAGGTGATTAGGGAACCACATGCCCAGTGTAGAGTAGAATCCCCTGGCTCTGTTTCTTTCATGGATCTAGCATGCTGTCATTCAGTATCTCTTACTTCATCTCAATGTGAAAGTCGGGGCTTTGCCTGTGGGGAGACTGTGGAATAAAGGTGAGACACACGTGCAGGGAGCTGTGGGAAACAGTCTCTGTTTTTTTCCCCTCTTCTTCCTCCTATTCCTCCTCCTTCTCCTCCTCCTATTATTTTTTTTGGGGGGGGGGTGGGGGGTTTCGAGACAGGGTTTCTCTGTGTAGCCCTGGCTGTCCTGGAACTCACTCTGTAGACTAGGCTGGCCTCAAACTCAGAAATCCGCCTGCCTCTGCCTCCCAAGTGCTGGGATTAAAGGCATGTGCCACCACTGCCCGGCATTATTATTATTATTATTATTTTTTTTTTTTTTTTTTTTTTTTTTAGATAGGGCCTCACTGTATATCCTTGGCTGTCCTAGTACTTAGTATCTAGACAGGCTAGCCTTGAACTCAGAGGTCTGCATGCAAGCTTCTGCCTCCTCAGTGCTGGGATGGAAGGCATGCAGCACCCATACCTGACATCTCCATTTCTTTCTTTCTTTTTTTTTTTGGGGGGGGGGTGGTTTCGAGACAGGGTTTCTCTGTATAGCTCTGGCTGTCCTGGAACTCACTCTGTAGACCAGGCTGGCCTTGAACTCAGAAATCCGCCTGCCTCTGCCTCCCAAGTGCTGGGATTAAAGGCGTGCGCCACCACTGCCTGGCAACATCTCCATTTCTTAATGGGAGTTCCTTTCTGTTGTTTTCAGATGGCTTCCGAGGTGATGTGTACCTAACAGTGAAGCTGCTGCTGCCTGGTGTCATCAAGAGTGTTTACAACTTAAATGATAAGCAGATTGTGAAACTGTTTAGCCGAATTTTTAACTGCAACCCAGATGATATGACCCGGGACCTAGAACAGGTCAGAAGCGGGTGTAGGGAGGTCATAATGTAAGATTCCGGCGCGGTTTGGACAGACAACACGAGGTCGAACCCGGTTCCACGGGAAGGGGTTTATTTAGGGAGGGGGAGCAGGAGAGAGGAGCGGGAGAAGTGGCAGGAGGAAATGAGAGAGAAAAAAGAGAGAGAGATTGGGGCGATCCCAAATATTTAAGCAGATGATGATGTAACTTCCCAGGTACGGGTGAGCGAGACAGGTGAATTCTGGGAGTGATTATCTTGGTTGCCTCAGTAACGATGCAGAAGTCGCCTTGCGCCTGAATGTGACATCACTTTGAGATCAGGCTTATACTAACATACAACCTAGGTGGGACTCTACCAGGATAGTCTTCCCAGAGCCACTTTAAACAATAACCGAGCACATACTGGTGTAGGAAACTGAAACTCAGTGAACAAGACTCTGTTAGGCTGGGGAAGCCAAGTGTGAAGATAAAGTTGTTCCTTTCCTAAGTTTGATAACTGAAAACACCACTGCCAAGCCACAAAGGCCTTACCTGAAAAGTCAGGGCTTGAGACTTCCTGTGTATGCGGGAACTGTGCTGGGCTTTATTTGCTTGCTTGCTGTCCCCTCTTTCTTTGGACTTTCCATTCATCTTTGGTTTGTTCATGATTCTAGCCTTGGTGCCATGGGAAGTTCTTATCCAAGCATCTACTATGGATGGACCATATATTTTGGTTCAGACTCTCAAACAGGAATCAGATTGGCTCAGTCTTAGATTAATGCTGTGCCTCTGCTCAGCTAAAGCAAAGTGGGTGGATAGAGGGCCCCTCCTAAGAACTGGCTGGGAGAGAGTTCCCAAGAAGAACGACTTAGGGACAGACACTGTGCTGGAACTCTTGACTTGGCATTTGTCCCAAGCTCCCTGGGGTTGCAGCGGTGGCATTTTGGTTTTTGGAGACAGGGTGACGTGTCAGAGACGATCAGAGTCTTCTTTGAGCAGAGCAAGTCTTTTCCTCCAGCTGCCAAAAGCCTCCTCACCATTCAGGAAGTAGATGCATTCCTCCTGCACCTCTCCAAGCTCACCAAAGAGGATGAGCAGCAGCAGGCCCTGCAGGACATCGCCTCCAGGTGAGGGGTAGTCCCATTGAAACCAGACCTTATGGGGATGGGCTACGGAAGTGTACTAATTTGGGAAGGGAGGTTTGGGGGATCAGAGTCTTTGAGAGATGAAGCTGAGTATGTCTTATCTCTTTAGGTGTACAGCCAATGACCTTAAGTGCATTATCCGGCTGATCAAACACGATCTGAAGATGAACTCGGGTGCAAAACATGTGTAAGTGCCACAGCCCCTCCCACGGCCCAGACGGCCTGCTGCTCTCAAGACTGGAGAGTCCTGCTACAGATTTGAACACTTGTTATTATTTCTTCTGGACCCTAACACACTTCCACATCCATTTTCTCACAAGCAAAGTAGAGATAACTGTTTTTAACATAAGCTGCTACGACCGAAAGTTCTTGCCCATTCCAGACCTATTCTCTGCCAAGGTGATATTACCATGTAAGGCATGGGGTCTCAAATCCTGAATTTTCTGTTTTGTCTTTTCCTGTGCCAGCTTTGATTTCCAACCTTTTGCCATTGCAAAATCTACAAAATTGATGCTCAAGAATTGTTCATTCAAGTTACAAAAAAAAAAAAGCTTGAAATAAATTTTTTGTTGGGGCACATCTGTAACTGTCTGTGGCTCCATGTGACTGCTGCTGTAGATTAGTCCCGTCTTCAAGTTAAAGGATGGAACAAAGCTACTTCCCCAGCATCTCTCCTGTCTGACAGACTGCTACCCTGAGCCATCATGTCAGATGGAGAGGTTTGTATCCTTGCTCCTGTTCTCTGTGGCAGGTTAGATGCCCTTGACCCCAATGCTTATGAAGCCTTCAAAGCATCACGTAACCTGCAGGATGTGGTGGAGCGAATCCTTCACAATGAGCAGGAGGTGGAGAAGGACCCAGGCCAACGACGGGCCCTGAGCGTCCAGGCCTCACTGATGACACCTGTGCAGCCCATGCTGGTGAGGAACACTACCTTGTCCCTAACATCCATGTCTCCTCAAGTTGCTGGCATCTGATAGGGATGAAAGGCAAGAGCTCTGGTAGTTTGCCAGGGAAGAGTGGAGGTGAGCAAAGCAGTGCTAGGCCAGGAAGTGAAGGTTCAGAAAAAAGTAGACATCTAGTACAACCCTGTGGGAGTGGCATGTGGGACTAAGTAGTGTAGCATCACACTTGAAAACAGGGCTATGACCTCCTGTTTAGCATCACACTTGAAGACAGGGCTACCCTCCTGCTGGGTAGCTCAGAGCTGGCAACAAAGCCAGGCTTCCTGTGACACGGAGAAGAAGCTGTAGGAGTGAAGCCTCACTCCAGTACATAACTGGATTTCTGCATCTTTAGTGAGGATGGCTGTCCCTTCTGGTTTTATGTGTAGCAGAGTCAACATTTGGTGCTCTGCCGTCTCCTTGGGCTTTCCAGGGGTGTGCAGGGAACTTTATTTATTTATTTTTTTTAGATTCTTTTTTTTTTTTTTTTGATGTCTTGTAATACTAAATCCTTGTGTTTAGAATAGGAAAGAGTTCTCTCACTACCAGAAATATAGACTAGCTTGCTATATTTGCCAGGGTCAGAACCTTTTCCCTCACCTGGAGTAGGGGCTTTTTTGGCTTCTGTGGGAATTCCTTTTCCACAGCCTTATAAGAAGAATGGTGTGAGTTGCCTGCTTATTAGTGCTTAGCACACAGGCTTGGGATGAAGGCTTAGATACACATCCGAGTCTGGCTGTTTACTGGCTGCCTGACCTTAAGTAAGCACATAACCTCCCTGGCCTTCAGGTTTCCCATTCAGCACTTGTCCTCTAAGGGATCATATCAAAGATGAGATGACATTGTTTTGTGGCCTGTCAAGAACCCCCAAAATGGTAGTTACTGTTTGGATCTGGCTAGTGCCAGTATGTGAGTGAGTGGGTATGGGTGTCTGTCAGCTCTGGTTCCAGTCATCCTGCTAGCCCCACTGTCACTGGCCCTCTCTGCTCTTACCTCCACCAATCACGCTGTGATAACAAGTGTGTTTAATAAGCCAGGTGACTGGTAAGGGCCTACATTACTGAAAAAAGTAAATCCTATTTTAGAAGAATTGTATTCTAGAATAGATAGCATTTGTCTTCTTCAGAAACTGTTAAACCAACTTTGGTGATGAGTCTTTCTGTTTTTTATATTCGAGACAATATTGCTATGTAGCTCAGGATATCAGCTGATGATTTTATTATCAGAATACAGCATTGTCCAGCCCTTTGCAATATATCACCCCTTCAGCAGTCTGTCCTGAGTCAATTCTGTCCTGATGATCCGAGCTTCATACTCTGCTGAGGAGCCCCAGTTGAAGGGCTCTAACATTTGCTTTTTCCATCCCAAGGCTGAGGCCTGCAAGTCCATCGCTTATGCAATGAAGAAGTGTCCCAATGGCATGTTCTCTGAGATCAAGTACGATGGTGAGCGGGTCCAGGTGCATAAGAAGGGGGACCACTTCAGCTACTTCAGCCGTAGTCTCAAGCCTGTCCTGCCTCATAAGGTAATACCCTTTCAGCAGGACATCTCCTCCCTGCCTCTAAAAAACTGAACTGAACTGGGCCAGAACTGAAGGGCCTTTCAAGCTGTTTCACTGGAGGAAGTTCTTTTTTTTTTTTTCTGTAAATGAATGGAGGGAATTTATTCCTGTACTCTTCTAGTAACGAAAGGCTGCTTATGCTTAGCTGGGACAGCCAACAAGCCCAGACTTGGGTTAGTCAGGTAGGAAAGAGCTCCCTGAGACAATGTGGTGCAGACAGCTCAGTGAGAATCTTGGGTGTGTCCCTGTCCACTGTGCTCCTTCTGGGCTAGATTAGGGTTCTGTACAAGGGAATGTTGGATTATCATTCATTAGACGGCTCAACAAGTATTTCTCAAATGCTGCACACTGTGGTAGTTAGTGGACATAAAAAGTACAAACAATAGATAAAAAGTCTGACCTTCATGGATCTTAGAGTTTGATAAGTGCACAGTATTGTGGGGCTGTCTGGGATCCTGATCCCTGCCCTACTCAGGACTGATGGGAGTTAAGAGCCTCAGTCCTCAGCCCTTCTCAGCTTCCAGGGCTAGTCCTGTGAGGTCTGTGGTCTGTGATGAGAAACAGCTGGGATATCTGGTTCCAGTAGCTTGTGAGTAAATAGAATTCCTGGCTTTGCTGCCCACTTTTTTCCTAGTTCTGACTCAGTTTCTCAGAGTCTGTATATTGGGGGATGTATTGTGTGGTTCAGTAGAGACTTGGTGGCTGGGCCACTTGTTTCATGTGTTGAGCAAGAGAGCTGACCAGTTGTCTTGCATGAAACTCTTAAGTCAGGTTCTTGTTCCAGGTGTGCTAGAAGCTGATGAGGAACTGCTGAGATAAAGATGTGTTAGACAGTCTTGTGACCCAGGACCATTTGAACACAGCTTTCCAGAATCTGCTTTCCTTACTTTTCCAAATACTGTGGATTGAATCAGGGCTTACACGGGCTAGGCAAGGGCTATATACTAAACTGTGTCATCAGTCCATGTCTGTTGGTTCTTAAAGGGCTGGGTTAGGGATGGAAGGGAGTAAGGATGGTCAGTCAGATCTTTCCACATCCCGCTCCACATCCTAGGCAGTGATTCAGCTGCTCTTAGCAGAGGCATTGTCAGGCTCTCCGGACCCCACGGCTGGTACCTTTTGTCAGGAAATACTTGGAATTGTGGGACTTCTCCCACTAAGTATCAGAAATTAGGGCTCTGGCTCTGTTAGGAAGAACCCTGTCCCAGTGATTATACTCTGAAGGGGGGCTTCAGAGCTCCCACTTAGGGGAGACCCTGTTCTCATTCCGTGCTCTTCCCAGGGATTTATTTGTCTGCCCTGCAACCCATCTGTTTCCCCATCCCAGTCTTCAGCCTGATAACACCAAGCCTCTGTAATGAACTCTAGTCCCCGGCTGCCTATCTTTCCTCCTTCCTTCCCTCCCATATTTGTCTACCTCCAGGTCCTTCCTCACCGACTCACTGTTTCTTCCTTTTCCTCCAAGCCTTCTGTATAGCTCATAGAATATGACTCAGTGGGCTGATCATTTTCTGGATCTAGACAGGTGATAAAGCAGATAGCCTGATACTCTTTGGGGGACTGGCACAACCTAGCTGTTCATTTCACTCATTTCTTGGGCTTGCAAGGTTCTCTGTACTGTTTTGCCTGAGCCTTGATCACTGTGGCTTAGTTTTAGGTCTTACTGCCAAGGCACCCTTGCCAAAGCTGCCTTTCTACTTCTAGGTGGCCCACTTCAAGGACTATATTCCCAAAGCTTTTCCTGGGGGTCAAAGCATGATCTTGGACTCCGAAGTGCTCCTGATTGACAACAACACAGGCAAACCACTGCCCTTTGGAACTCTGGGAGTGCACAAGGTATACACTAAGAGTCCTGTGTGCAAAACATGTTCTGTCAGTCTGACAAAGGGGTGGAAGGGAGATATGAGAACCAGCTTAGGCTTGAATTGGTTTCTGTTGAGCATGTACTCTTTCATCACTGTAACAAAATATTGGAGGTAACCATTCTATAAAGGAGAAAGGTTTTGTATCTAGAGGTTATAGTCAGAGAATACAGGGGCCCATAGCTTGAGATCACTAAACATGTGGCAGAGCAAAGTCATTTACATCATGAGCTAAGAAGTATGGCAAGAGGGAGGGGCCAATCCCACAGTTCCTTTAGGAGCTTTGAGAACCTTTGGGTCTTTGGGAAACACTTGGAATCTAAAGTTTAGTGAGCATCATCTCTGGAGTGCTCTGTGGCTTTGCAAAGCACTGAACGGACTATCCACAAGGGGCTTCTGAAGTGGACTGCTACTTTCCTGATTCCTTCCTGTAACTCTTGCCTCATTTTCTCTGCAGAAAGCTGCTTTCCAGGATGCTAATGTCTGCCTGTTTGTTTTTGATTGTATCTACTTTAATGATGTCAGCTTGATGGACAGGTGAGTTAACTTGTATTTTGACATGTTTTGAGGTTTTTTTTTTTTTTTTTTTTCATTTTTTGCAGTACTGGGGATGAAATCCAGGGTCTTCGACATATTAAACATATAATCAACCATTGGATTTTATTCCCTGGCTACCGTCTTTAAACCGAGATTCTTATCTGGGAATTTATCTGGGTTGGGTCTGTAGAGGCTTCAGTTAGGAAAGAGATAGGGATAAGGCTAACATTTTTGCATTTTATCTATGAGCTTATATCTATGAGCTTATAGGTGATGCTATGAGTAAAACAGAGGGGGAACTGGCCATCTAGAGTGAGCTACATCCAAAAGCTTGGACCTACACAACTGATACTTGTCCTTTATGCACTTAGGATTCTCCCTAATCCTGTTTGTATAGCTATACCCATGGTTATGAAAGTAAGACTTGATGGGGTAGGGTCCTGAGGCCTGTGCCAGCCTCGGGGTTAGGGATAGCACAAGAGTTGTAACATTGTTCAAGTGGGACAGGACAGAGCATGTAGTCAGGGCTGGAAGCTGGTGTTGTCTTGACTCAGTAGAGTAGAAAGCACAGCTATGAACTGCCTGTGGGCTACAGCTTATAGTTGTTTATCTCTAGTGTTGATGAGTCCTTGCAGCCCTTAACAGCACGACTGTTCATACGGGAACTTGGATCCATAGCTATCCTTCTCCTGAAGCAACAGTTCTATCACTGGGCACTATCCTATGTCAGAGTTCCTGCTAGGAGTGGGAGGGAGGCTCTTTACTTCAGCTCTGCTGTTTCCCTTAGGCCTCTCTGTGAGCGACGGAAGTTTCTTCATGACAACATGGTTGAAATCCGTAACCGGATCATGTTCTCAGAAATGAAGCAAGTCACAGTAAGTGAAGTTCCTCTCCTAGGCAGGGATCTAATGGTTTGAAAAGAGAGCAGAGAACCCCATGGGGTGTGAGAGAATGAGCCTTAGGTGTTCTCTGGTGGGGTGCTGATAAGTTTGCCATTGGCCTATGTTGCCTAGTTGTCTGCAGCCTGCCTCTCAAAGCCACAGCTCCAAGTTATACACACTAGTGTATAGAAGTGAACAGTCTACTGTTACATGATCCTGCACATTTCTTCTACCATCCCTCAGAAAGCTTCAGACCTGGCTGACATGATAAACCGGGTGATCCGAGAGGGCTTGGAAGGGTTGGTGCTAAAGGATGTGAAGGTAAGCTAGCTGCGACACCCATCTTTCCCTGCTGGAGGTGACAGAGGTGTTGGTGGTGGGAGAGAGGGAGAGCTATGTAGGAGTTTTTCCCACTCACCTGGGGCAGGCTGGTCCTGGATCTAAAAATTTGTATGTCCTGTAGTGCCTTGACCCTGAGATCGGCCCACAGCGGTGAAAAGATGGACTCCACCTCTATGGAGTTTCCATGATCTGTGATCTTTTTTTTTGTGTGTGTCCCCTAGGGTACATATGAGCCTGGGAAGCGGCACTGGCTGAAAGTTAAGAAAGATTATTTGAACGAGGGGGCCATGGCCGATACAGCTGATCTGGTGGTTCTTGGGGCCTTCTATGGGCAAGGGAGCAAAGGTTAGTGGTGTTTGGTCCCTGAGGTGGTACTCTTATCAGAAGACACACACACTGGCCTTCTTACTAGCTTGATCTGCCAGTCATGGTGGCTTCCTTGGTCATGAGATCTAGGGCCCTGGTCACATCAGGCAGAGCCATCTGGGACCTTCAGACTTACACACAGAAGTTTAGTAAGAAGAGCTGTAACAAAAATGTTTTAATAAGAAGGGAAAAAATAATTAAAAGAAAGTTGGTAAAGAATAACCTCTGCAGTTCTGGCACAAGGAAGCTCAACTACCAGCTGTTTCAAGGCCTAACAGCTTCCTTCTCAGAAAAAATGTGTTTCTTGATTGAGGAGAAAGATGAGGTCTGAGGAACACTTAGGCAGTATGTCAGGTTGTGTCTGCTATGTGTCAGGTACTTCCAGTTCCCCGGAGCCCAGAAGGTAGAGTGTGATTACTCTAACACTCTTGATGGTAAAGGCTTGGCTCATTCTTCTCCAAGCAGTTTGTGGTGGGCCTGTCAGAGATGGTTCCTTCTAGCCCACACTCAATTCATGTCCCCTCCTAGGCGGAATGATGTCCATCTTCCTTATGGGCTGCTATGACCCTGACAGCCAGAAGTGGTGCACTGTCACAAAATGTGCTGGAGGCCATGATGATGCCACCCTTGCCCGCCTGCAGAAGGAGCTAGATATGGTGAAGATCAGCAAGGTAAGGAAGGCCCCTGGTTGGCCCTGGCCCTGGACAGGTCATCCTTCCTGAAACAGGCTGTGCTTTGAGGACTGACGTCTGCAAGTCCCAATTCTTCATTCAGAAAGGAGCTTACTCCTTGGCCATAGAAGCAGGATTAGGCTTTTTTAAATCTGAGAGCCTATCTTATACATGATGGGCCATAGCCTACCTGAAGAGGGATGATCACTTGGGGTGAGAGGTCATCCTTTTTAGCTAAGTCATTTCACAGTCTTATTGCCAAAGACAGGGTTTAGACCTTGCTCCAGTATGACAGGAGCCCAAAATGGTGTCTTTTCTCCTTCAGGATCCTAGCAAGATACCCAGCTGGCTGAAGATCAACAAGATCTACTATCCTGACTTTATCGTCCCAGACCCAAAGGTATCATCACCTGATGCTTTGTGGCCCCCACTCCAGAAGTAGTTTGTAGTTCTCCAGTGCCACAGAAGTTAGTCCAGCTTTGCTAAGGTCCACCCAGGATGGGACTTGGATATTCAACCAAATGACAAGCACAAGGCGAACCAGCCAGCCCTGAGGACTTGTCCTTAGTGGAGGGGAAGCAAATTCCTTTCCATTTGTAAAAGAGACCTGTTGTAGAAGTAAACCTAGACCAGGCCTTGCTAAAGCAGACAGGTTTCAAGAGGAGGCATAACTGGCATACAGGCCTCCTGGCTGCTAGTGAGAGCCTCTGTGCTTTCAAATGCTTTACACTGTTCCTGTCTGTTGGAGACTTCCTTCCTGGCCAGTGGTAATCTACCTGTTTATACCTGCAGAAAGCTGCTGTGTGGGAGATCACAGGGGCAGAATTCTCCAGATCTGAGGCACACACTGCTGATGGGATCTCCATCCGATTTCCTCGATGCACCCGAATCCGGGACGACAAAGACTGGAAATCTGCCACTAACCTCCCCCAACTCAAGGTGCCAGCTCCTTGGCTTTCTAAGTGTCATCAACCCACTGTCTTATTCTTGGAGTGTTGGGCATCTAGCCTGTTCACATGTCATTTGACCTCTCTCGATCCACAGGGACAAAGCAAGGAGAGCAGTTCAGAGTTGAAACTGGTACCCCTTCCTCCTAGCTACCCTTCCTCGGGTCCCCCAAAGAGCTTAGCTTTCCACAGACAATTTAGGAGTTGTCTTAAGCCGGGTGGTGGTGGCGCACGCCTTTAATCCCAGCACTTGGGAGGCAGAGGCAGGCGGATTTCTGAGTTCGAGGCCAGCCTGGTCTACAGAGTGAGTTCCAGGACAGCCAGGACTACACAGAGAAACCCTGTCTCGAAAAACCAAAAAAAAAAAAAAAAAAAAAAAAAAGGAGTTGTCTTAGACCACAGTCCTACTTTAGTAAGTAAGAGCTGAGGTTTAGGGGCTGGAGAGCCTGCTCAATGGTTAGAGCTCTGGCTGTTCTTACAGAGGACCCCCATTTCAAGTTCCAGCACTCACTGCAGCTCACAATTGTCTGTAATTTCAGTTCCCAGAGATCCAGTGCCCTCTTCTGGCCTCTGTAGGCACCAGACATTTACATATTTACATGGTGCAAGATAGGCACACACTTTTTTTTTCCTTAAAGAAAAACAACTGGGATTTAGGCAGAATGTAATATTGCACACCTTTAGAATTCTAGCACTCAGGAGACAGAGTCAAAAATTTCTCTGAGTTCAAAGCCAGCCTGATCTACATGGTGAATTCCAGGCTAGCCAGAGCTACAGTGTGAGACTCTGCCTCAAAACAACAACAAAAACATGGTTCATCTGAGCCTTTAATATGAGCACCAGAGAGGCTGAGACAGGGAGATCTTAAGTTTAAAGCCAGTCAAGAATTACAAAACTTTTGCCACAGAAAGTAGCTTGTACCCAAATTACTCAGGCCCTACTTTGTTCCTTAGCCATGGTACCAGGCAGCAGTCATCCCTGACCCAGGTCTGGTCAGGTCAGTGAGTGACAGCACCCCACTCTCCCCTTCTTAGGAGCTGTACCAGCTGTCCAAAGACAGGGCAGACTTTGCTGTGGTGGCTGGAGATGAGGGGAGCTCCACTCCTGGAGGCAGCAATGGGGAGAACGAGGGCACTGCTGGGTCTGCTGTGCCCCGCAAGGGCCCCAAGGGCGCCCCCAGTAAGTCCTCTACCAGTGCCAAGAAGACCGAACAGAAGCTGAATGACCCCAGTAGCAGAGGTGGTGAGTAAAGGGACCTGAGGTGATGGGGAGGGCTGTGGGTAGGCCAGAGATAGTAGGATATAAGCATACACTTCAACTCTGACGTCCTGTGACTGGGTGTCCGATACAGCCGTGTGTTCCTAGTACGTGACTAGTTAGGGGCTAGAAACTGATCTCCCAGGTAGCCCTTATCTACTCAGCAAACCTGGATGACAGAGGACCCAGGGACAGCCAGTCTGATGAGGAATAAGCCACCTTGGAGCTAAAGGATCTGGCTGACAGCCATTCTCCCCTTTCACTCATCATTCCAACAGAAGTACTTGATCTCTGTGTTCTCCCTGACTCACAGGGCTGTTCCTTTACCAGCTTCCTTGTTCTTGGTTTTGTGGTTTTGAGAAAGGGTTTTTCTACACCATGCTGGCCTTTAACTCACTATGTTGTTCAGAATGGCTCCGAGCTTCTGAGCCTCCCGTCTCCACCTCCTTAGCGCTGGATTATAGGCATGTCCCAGTTTGTGCACTGCTAGGGATCAGACCTAGTGCTTTATATATGCCTGACCTCTGCTATCCTGCAGGCAACAAACTGATTCCAAAGCCTTCCCCCATGAAAGCAGGAGAGAAGCTGGCTGTGAAGTCTTCTCCAGTCAAAGTGGGAATGAAGAGGAAAGCTACTGATGAGACACCATGCCTGACAAAGGTGAGGGGAAGAATGGCAGTGCTGGACATAGGCCAGTTTGCCTCAGGGTCTAGAGATCCAGGCTCTTGTGTGTGAATGTGAAAAGCTATCCATATTGGTTTGGGGGAAGACTCCTGGAGCCCTTTCCCTTCCTGTTCTGGGCAAGCAAGCAGTCCTGTTGCTCCACCCTGTGCCCTCTTATTGCCTTGCAGAGGCGGCGGGCCAGCCGGCAAAGAGGAAGGAGAGCTATGCAGACAGGCAGGAGATAGAGCCGGCCTAGCAAGAGAGGCTGCAAGCCCACCCAGCTGCCAATGTTGTTACAGTTCACATTAAAGAACGAAGCCCACTCTGGCTGTGGGGTGCAGCATGTTTGTGTATCTCTGTCTCGGAGCAGTTCTGCCCAGCAAGGAGAGGGAGACTGGCACGGCATAGACAACTCTCAGCTAAGGAGCCTATTTTCCCTTTTGTTAGTCCCTGCTCTGGCAACATCTGTTGAGTACCTGAGATCAGGAACTACTAGCTAGAGTCTATGGTACCCTGGGTAGCTTCTGGCTATGATTAACAGATAGCATCCATGACCAAGCATACGCACAGAAGTTGACATCTCAGGGCCTGCACCCAGTTCTCAGTAGAAACCATTCCCATCTCTCTGCCCTCCCTGAAGCCCTTGAACTCATCCACACTGATGAGCAAGACTCCCAGGCCCTCTGACTAGGTAGCTGTGCAGAACAAACTGATCTTCCAGGGTATTTTGCATTGGGTGGATCTTGAAGAAATGTCCTTTTTCAGAACAGTTTAGCTGGATCTCAGATGTTAGAGCCCATTACTTTTCCCTTTTTCCTTGGGTCAAGGAGAACTGTCAGACCAGGGTCAATTTGAATGACTAGAGGAGGGGATAGCAATGCCTCTGTCTTTTCTCCAGTAAACTATGTGTGTCCTAAGTACCGGACTCCAGGCATCCCTAGCTGTCCAGTCATGAAGTGGATGAAGTCCCTCTTGTATCCAGGCTAGGCCTCACTCTGGATGAACCAATCTGTTTGCAGGTGCTGATGGATGTCTTCACTGGGGTACGGCTCTACTTGCCACCTTCTACACCAGACTTCAAACGGCTCAAACGCTACTTTGTGGCGTTCGACGGGGACCTGGTACAGGAATTTGACATGGCCTCAGCCACACATGTGCTAGGTAACAGGGACAACAACACTGATGCCCAGTTGGTCTCCTCAGAGTGGATTTGGGCGTGTATCCGGAAACGGAGGCTGATAGCTCCTTGCTAGGACTTTGGTCTTCCTCTTTGGGCTGTCCTCCTCTGCCCACTCTACCACCACATGAGGCTCAGCCTGAAGGGTAAGGGCCTCTTCGCCAAGCAGCGTACCTTCTTACACCTTCCGATTCTTCAAGGTCTCTTCTGGATCAGGAGTTAGCTGCTGTGGACACAAGCAGTTTAACTGAAACTTTCAGATCCAGGTGCTAGCTTTGTCTTGTTAGTTGTCTGAGGTGCTGATAACCAACTTAAACCCTTATTCATGCTGTGCACAGCACTCTGCCACTGAACTACAGTTTTTCTTAAGCTAGACATGAAGAAATCATAGGGTATCAGAAGTTCATGGCTACCCTGGGGTAAGAATTTAAACAATAAGAAGCATCCTTTCCCCCACTGGTTCCACCACAGTTTCCCTCAGTGACTAAGGATTGAAGACTGAGCAGAATCTACTTCCTGTGCTCCTCATTTCCATGTACATCTTAAACGCTGTATTTAAACTGTTCTCAAACGCTTCTTATATGTGGCAAAACCTTTATTATGCCTGGTCCAAACCCTCATGTGAAAGAACAAAGTGGTCTCCAATGATTATAGTTTCCAGGTCACTGACTGGAGGGAGAGACTGACATCTACAGGAAAGTACCCTCCTTGGAGACAGAGGTTCCTTGAAGGTGAATTTGCCTCCTCAAATCTGACTAATCTCAGGAGCACAGGTCCATAGCTGGGAAAATCTCCACATCCTGCCTACCAAGGCTGTCTCCTGTGCCATGTGTGGCAGATGCTCCTGAAGGGTAAAGAAAGATGATTTCTGTGTATAACTGCACACGGGATATTCTGCAACAGTGGAAGTGTACTAAACTAGCCTCATCTGATTATCAAGCCCTTGAAATGTGGCTAGCATAAGGTTATGCAACATTTCAAGACAACTTCAAATGGTCTCAAGTTACTAGTGACATCACACATCATCTGAGCATCAGTTCCTTAAGAGGAATGGGCAGAGTCACTATTGCCGAATCACTGGGCAGCTGCCAGTGACCTCGGACACCTTGTTTAAGGCATGCAGCGCACACCCTGGTACAGATGTTGTCCAGAAGGAGGCCTAGCTTACCGCCTCACAAGTTCACATTTCTAATCATGGGCTTCTCCAGGAACTGGTAGACGGGCTTCCTTGTCTATGCTGTGCCACCTCTTGATCAACTCAGCAGGCTTACCTATCCACCACCTGTGAGCTAGGTTACTATGGTGGAACTCACTTATGTGAGTCTCTAAGATAGACCCACCACCCCATGTAACTCCTAAAGTAATATCCCACTAGGAGGTTGCTTGCTTGTCTGGCTCTGTCCTTCACCTACTATTTAAGACTTAGGTGTAAATGCTCTGATGAGGGCAGAGTAGGCAACATTCAGTCTAGTAAGTAAAACATTTTATTCTAGCCTCAAGGCAGAAGCTGCTTTGTGCTTTGAACACTTGCCTTCCTTGGACCGAGCAGCTTGGTAGAGCATCAAAGATGACTCTTCCCCATCCCACAGGGCCAAAAGTTCAGCCCTTTGTCCCTTTAATGCCTTACTGTATATTTACTCCAAATCATCAGATCTTTGTACATTGCCCTTTGCAGAGAGGTTAAACTCTATGTAGACCTTTGTATCTTTTCCTGTCTTTCTACACAACCCTAAGCACTGTCACCTGAAACCTCCAAGGCTAGAAACATGTCCACCCCACCCTTCCCATGGCCTTTGTTTACATAGTGCCAGTTGATGACAGGCAGTGTTCATTTCTGGCTGCTCAACAGCAAGATACAGAGTAGAATCCTTTCATCTAGTTCTCCCAGAGGTGATACACTCCCCTCCCCTCAGGCACCTGGTCAGGTAGGTGGGTACAGGCCTATGCTTACTCTGTAGTCTGCTCTTTAGGGTGGGCCAACCTTTGAGCCACACTTGTCTATATCCAAAAGCTACTGTCAATCTTTCAGGGTAACTTGAAAACTTACTGCCTACCTAGCTGTCTTGAGGTTACTTTCTACTTAGCTCTTGAAGGTCCCTCTACAGTGGGACTGTAATAACTTCACATGGTGCTTCCCATTTGCTCTTGAGAATCATTCTTACACTTAGCTCTAACTTCCACAGTTTCTCCAATGGACTCTTGTGACCTTAGGCAAGTCACAACATAGAGCGGGGTACCTCTATAAGTGGGATGCAGTGTCTCTGTGCATGTGCCTGCATTTACAAGTTCTTTGGGGGCCTCTGGCATTATCCCCTCACACCAGATGGGACAGGCATCTGTATTTAAACTTTATTACAAAATTATAAAGCAGAGCTCTGTAACAAAAAAATACACATTTGGGTATGCTTTTTAACACCCAGGTGAGAAAATCTTAATGTAAGCCACTTGGAGTTACACATTTACATCCAAGAGATCTCAACAAATTTGTACAACAAAGACTATTAATTCCTTTACAGCTCATTAGTTTAGAACTGGCTATTCCAACCTATGAAACAGCGTCTTTGAAAACGTAAGTCTCAACTGAAATCTTGGTGCAATCAGCAAAATCCACAGAATAATTGGAAGGATTAGGTGTTTGAACATTAAATAAGACCAAGGATCCGTGAAGAACAGAAAAGGGGCTCAGGTATTTAAAAAAAAAAAAAAAATCAGGTTTTCTACCTGAGATGTTAACTGGAATGGGTTCCAGCTTTCATTTGGTTTAATAAAAAAGTTGTTTGACATGTTTTGGTTTTTCCCCTCAAATGAAAACACCAAAGGTAGAGATTTAAAGGTAAGATCTCCAAAATAAATGACATGGGTTCTGGTTGTTACTTGGGTTGCTAACCACAGCCATCAGTGTATTTTCTGTTCCTGTATAGGAGGTAGGGAGGTAAGGCCTCAGAAGAGAAAGCAGTCATAAGGGAAAGCCGGCGTTAAAGTTACTGTTAGGTCTTACTGAGCTGCAAGATCAGACCTGTTTCACAGTGGAGTCCAGGAGCAGCAAAATCAGTGGGCCGTGCTAAACTGGAGACATTGTAAACTACAGTACTCACTTTTTAGGGAGGGAGGGCAAGGTAGTCTTTGTGGAGGGATCTGAATCCCTGACACCCACAAAAGCTTTGACCCAAAATCTGGTCATCTGGACTTAGAATGCAGAGGTAAGTGGGCCTGGTATCTCTTGACAACAGCTTCATGGAACTACTTGATCCTCTGAAGGAATTCAGTGGAGAAGCCTAAGCCTAATAGCCTCCTAAGAGGTTTCCCTCTACTTTGCAGACTCATGACTGGTTGGTATTTCCAGTCTCTCATAGCTACACAGTGAAGGGTAGTGTTAGCCAAGTTGAGGGTTCATCCCACAGAGGAACACACAGCTCTTCTGATACTGTTTTGTGCTTTGATGAGCTGTTATAGCAAACATTACTCAAACCCTTTAGTTGCCTCAGTGGTGTAGAGACCCCAGAAGGGCTGGAATCATGAATTAAAGAATGCTTCATCCTGACCTGCCTAAGCAGCTGAGAAGAGGGTGCAATTAAGACTTTTCAGCAGCCATAGGCACAGTCCAACTAATTGAGCACCTTCCAGTGCCTCGTACACTGTCCTGTATGTCTTCTCTCCAAGAATTCCATGAACAGCCAGGCTAGAGGAGAGCAGAGCTCTTTGGTGAAGTTCCTATACCTTCAGTAAGAAAGTTTAAAACCCAAGGAAGAGAAAATATTAAAGTAGTTTTTAAAAAGTTTTAGCCTGCTGGAAAATGAGGCCCAGAAGCCAAAAAGGTAAAGCTACTGCCTCGATTTTTCCTTCCTCATAATCTAAAGAATGATGCAAAGTCAAACCCAAAGAGAAGCGCACCACTTCTTAAGGACTTCCCAGCAGTCAGGTCAGAGACTGGTCCTTTCCAACCCCAGTACTAAACAGAAGTGACTCAACCTAGAATTTTTTTCTATATCACTTACGACTTAATTTCTCACTAGAGGTCAGTTTACTGATCCAAATTCTGACCTACGGAATACTATTGGTCTGATTAACATTTTTTGGTCCATAGAAACAAATGGGTTTTAGGCAAATGAGAAGACTTAAAAGATATGTTAACACACAGAAAGCCAGAGAGACCAGAAATTTAAATCCAAATGTGCTGGGGGTGGGGTAGGGGAAGTGACTAATTCCAGCAGGACTTCTGATTGACAAAACAGGAGTGGTATACAGATGTATGAAATGTGTCTTAGGGTCTTGGGATGGGAGGGAGACTGGTCCCCGTTCTGGAGAGACCTCTTCATTGATTACCATCACCACCCAATGATCACAGAAGCAGGCATTCACCCATGTGATCTGAACCAGTTCCCACTGGTTTTGGGCTCTGCCACCTAAAACAGGCATACTAGGCAACTCTGCTTGTCCTAGTTCTTCAGAACACTGCCAGCTTCTCACAGTAGACTGCCCTTGTGCATCGGACCAACCCTGAGCCCAGACATCTTGGGCTATGTCCTGTAAGGCACTGAAGAAGCCAATGCTAGCCCTCAGGACCGGAAGACATGCACTGCTCGGATCACATACTGCCGGCAGATAGGACATTCGTTCATGCGTTTGCCACACTTGGTACAGGTCACCATGTGACCACACTCCAGCAGAACACAGTCAATGGGTGAGTCCATGCAAATCTTACACAGGTTCTCCTCCAGGCCAGAAGGCACTGCTCCCCCTGGACAAACAAGACAGAAAAGAAGAAAAGATTATGTCTCTGTAAATAAGGGCCAGTACTAAGAAAAACCCCAAATCCACTTCCCCTCAAATACGACACCATCAAAAAACAAAACAAAAAAACCCCTTAGTAACCGACCACCCCTGCTAACATAACAAAAAGGTTTGAGTCCGGTACTCTCAGATCAAAAATATTCCAGGACTCAGGACAAGGAGGCTGTAATTCAGTGAGTGAACAATGTTGAGGTACCACATCTCTTGAGGCAGAATATGCAGAAAAGATAAAAATTGGCTCAGAAAAGTCTGGATATAAACAAAACTGTTATGAATGGTTCGCTAAGAATACTAAGGCTTATCTATAAACATAGACCTGATTTAATAAAGCTGAGAATCGTGAGGGACTCCATGTGCTATCCAACAATCTACCTACCTTGAGGCTTCTGAAAAGACTTCCTAACAGAAGGACATGGGCAGATACACTGTTCCCTGTTCTGTGCTACAACCATTGAATTTTATTCAGACCCCTGACTGCTTATCATACTGCGTGATAATTAACTTATCTCCCACAGTAGACAAAGAGCTCCTAATTCAACTTATTCAGACGGTAATCATAAACTTAGCACTTGCTTTAAGCTTTGAGGTCAGATACTTATCTTTGAATTCCGAAAACATGAGTCACATGGTAGGTATTCTTTAAACATCTGATAATGAACATTCTGGCCTGGGAATGATAACTGTTCACATTGACTAACTGCCTACCACGTGTCAGGCAGGGTGGGTCCTAAGAGCTTTCGATGTTAACCCAGAGGTGCTAAAGTAGGTTTTACAAATGACACAATTTAGGCCAGAATTAAGTGGCTTGCCCAAGGACACAGGGCTGCTGAGATAGTCCACATTCAAATCAGAGAGGCTCATAGACATAATGGCCATCTGAACAAGGGCTCCAAGATCAGAGCTATCAAAACACCATTAACTGCCCAGTCCACAGAATTCTCAATAAATACTAACTTGAGGCCTATTCTAGTGGTGGACACAGCTACTATCCTACTTCAGCTAGGAAAAGCCTTCATAGTCAAAAGCCCACCTATCTCCTGTGTGTCAAACTAGCCTAAACTAACCAGCCATAAAACAAAATTGTTCTCATACTAGCCACTGCTCCCAACTGGACTTGGCAACTCTCCAAGGGAATTTTCCATTTCTCTGTTGCTTTTAAGTCCTTTTTTTTTTTTTTTTCTGTTCTGGACTAGTCTAAAAAGTGAAGTCATTGAATGTACAAGTCTTCTTGTATACGTTTGTTTATTGCTAGTTTGGTGGTTCTGGAATTTTTCATGAGGCTATTCATACATAACTATGAACACACGTCAAGTCAAAGAACACTTTCCACAGCAGGTGGCTGGCTGTGAGAGTTCAACCTATTTAAAGCCCCTGTGACCTTAATATGGAGGTTAGAAGGACACACGAATATCTAAAACAAGATGGAGTAGTCTACAGAATTTCAGCCATTCATTACTTCACTGAGGAAAGACAATAAACACATCAACCCAGTGGTCAGTATTCTCCAAGAAATGGGGAGAAGGAAGGATGGTAACACGTAGATTAATCTCATCTTAGTATTATTGGGGTGGGAGGGAGGTAACTAAGTAGAAAGCGCAACTCTGCCCATTTTACTTAGGATAAATTCTGAAAAGTTTTAAAGTGCTCTACAGACTGGAACTATTACTGAGAATATTCTCTCTTGGGAAATTTACAACCACGTCCCTCAAGGCTTTCAAAAGGGTACAATATATGTGAAAATATCCCATTGGCAACCAAGTTCTAGAGTGTGCTCTGAGGATACCCCCAGTGATGGCTTTTAACACACTGGGAGTTAAGGTAGCCAGGTAGGATGTGCATTTTGAGCTCAGAAGGCATCCACAAAACACCTCTTTTGTCCCTGAGCAACCAACCATTCAAAAAGGGCTCTCAGGTCACCACTCTTGTGCTTTTTGGTTTGGCTGGCAAACACCTGAGGCCAGCTTGGTCTACATAGTGAGTTCCTGTCTTCAAAAAACAAAAACATAAAAACTTAAATGATGTCTCTGAATGTGTAAGACTCTCCAGAAAGACTGCTTGGATAAACTGAGCATGATATTCCCTACCCAAGGAGTCGGCTCCAATTCAGCCAAGCCCCTAGGCTGCGGTGAACTTACTTCATTGGGGTGGGGCAAGGGCAATGCCTGACTCTACTTTCCCACAGCCTCCCCAGGACTCTGAAAACTGAACAGCCGCCAGGCGGTGGTGGCCTTTAATCCCAGCACTTGGGAGGCAGAGGCAGGCAGATTTCTGAGTTCGAGGCCAGCCTGGTCTACAGAGTGAGTTCCAGGACAGCCAGAACTACACAGAGAAACCCTGTCTTGAAAACAAACAAACAAACAAACAAAACTGTGAACAGCCATCATCAGAGTGGAAGTCAGAAGCACAAACCAGCTAAGAGCCTAAGCCTACCTTAACAAACAATTACGTACCGTTTTGGTTTTCATTACCAGACACTGAAAAGGAAAGGAAATGACGTGTAAGTAGGAGTCTGGTGACACAAAAGTCATGTCCCATCACCCTGCTGTTACTAACTCAGTCAGCTCTGCGCTGAGAATAGGCCCTGGAGTCTGGACAGACACTTGCCTTACTCACTGTGTGCAGAGAAGTCACACGGAGCCCTTGCTGTTCCATCTGCTTTGTTCAGAGAAAAGCAGATCCACTGATCTCCAGTGACTACTGTGTCAGCTGAGAGGACACTGCACATATACAATATCCTTTAATGCTGCCTCGGAAGCCATTAATGAGGTGAAAAAAAATGTAGAATTTGACTATTTCTATGAGCTAAGGACTCTGAACAAAGCTCCCATGTAGGAGTCATATTATTGCCAGGAATAGTGATACATGCTTATGATCCCAGCACAGGAGAGAGAGGACAGATTGTGAGCTCCAGGCCAGCCTGAACTATCTATGTATTGAGACTTTAAAAAGTCATAGAAACGCTGGGCAGTGGTGGTGTACGCCTTAATCCCAGCACTTGGGAGCCAGAAGCAGGCGGGTTTCTGAGTTCGAGGCCAGCCTGGTCTACAGAGTGAGTTCCAGGACAGCCAGGGCTACACAGAGAAACCCTGTCTCAAAAAAACAAAACAAAACAAAAACAACAACAACAAAAAAAAAGTCATAGTAGCAGCAGCAGCAGCAGCAGCAGCAGCAGCAGCACAGGACAGAGTAGTGTACACTTTCAATCCCAGGCATGTAAAGAGGCACAGGCCGGTGGATCCTCTATGAGTCTAAGGCCAACCTAATTTCCATAGTAAATTTCTGGCCAACCAGAGACAGAGTGAGACCAAGAATTTAAAAACTATTCCCAAAGTCTTTGGTACTCTTAGAAAACTCTTTTTTGTTTTTTTGTTTTGTTTTTTTTGTTTTGTTTTGTTTTTTGTTTTTTGTTTTTTTTTTGTTTTTCAAGACAGGGTTTCTCTGTGTAGCCCTGGCTGTTAGAAAACTCTTGAGATAATCCCAAAGGGAAAACAGACTCCTTCTCAGGCCCCGAGTCTACAACCAGTGCAGTGAGATTTCCCCTAACTTGGTCCATTTAAATTATTCAGTTTTGTTAGAGGAAAACCTGAAGCTTGGCTTTAACAGCCATTTGTCATACAAGGAATCAAAATGCTCAAAGAACAAAACCAGCTGGTGACGAGAAAGGAAGATGAGAGTTCTGTGTTCAAAACAAAACAAAACAGTAATTGAAAGCTTGCTTAGCACGTGGAACAAGAGCCTGGGCGGTTGATCTCCAACACCAGGGTAGAAAACCCAAGTTACTGCTATTGTTGCGAGGATGCAGCTTCATGGTAGAGTGCTTGCCTAGCAAAACAGCCAGACAAGTTTCTCTTCTGCAGGATGTCTCTGAATTTAACAGAAAAACATCTACAACGAGTCAGTATGAGGACAGCGTGAGACCCTGGGAGAACGTCATGTAAAATGCTTTGGGAAGTAAACACAAGGGACATGTACTACATGCTTCCAGAATTTGCTTTCCAACCCCAAACTGATTCAAGTTAAAGTGTTGGTGGTAGGAGTGCAGATGGAGTGGGTGTCACATGGCAGGAAGACTTAGGAGATCCTCAGTTTAAATCCTGGCTCTCCAGTGAAAGAGTGACACTAAGTGCCTTTTGCATAGGCTGCTCTGAGGACTGACTGAACTGTGTATTCAATGCCTGTCCCCAGTCTTGGTGCTTGAGAAGTACAAATGTGTAGGCTGGCTTCCCCTGAGGTAGGCTAACCACATGTGGGAGGGCCACAGAGAGGGCTCTGTTTACCCCAACAGTCCTTACCCAGGTGCTGGAGTCCTTTCTGGTCCTTGTACAGCCGAGTTACCCTCTCCATCAGCTCCCACTTCTCACAGCAGCCCTTGTAGTTGACGAAGTTGCGAGCCAGGATCTCCTTCAGCTGCCGCACAGTCAGGCCTTCAATGTCCTCCAGGTGGGTCAGGTCAGACAGCGAGGCCCTCCGGCCTGGGACGAAGCTGTCCTCTGAGTCAACGGACTGCAATGGTAAAGATATGATCAGGTGGCTCAGCTCTTGTGTCCTGCAAGCTGTCTTCAAGGACCCCAGAGCACTCATCAGAAGGCACGTTGTTGACCAACCTCAAGGAACATGAAACAGAGGGTACCTGCTTGACTCAGCAAAATAGACTGGTCTTTCCCTGCCTGCCCCGTCATGTGCTCTGTGCAGACAGCCACACTCTGGCATATCAGTACTATGCAGAAAGAGTGCCCTAGTTGGCCAGAGGCTGCTGATTCTCCATGCTGCTGCCTCCACTAGACAGTATTTTTCAAGTTGGTTACCATCGTGAACCTGTTACCCTCCACAAAGGAGACAACTGTTCTGCCACTCAGGGTTCCTGAGGAAACCCCAGGTGTGGTCCTACCTGTCCTCAGTTCGGACTCCCTGGCAGGACCCCATGCATGGGCTCACTGAAGCTCTATGGCCCCTTAGAACCGTGCTCTGTACTGGTGGTCCCTTGTGTGGCTGAGGCCTGAAAGCCTCATCATCTTACTTCCTTCTCCAACTGTGGCTACTTACCTTAGACCACAGGCCAAGAACAACAGTTTCACAGCTGCACCCACAGTACCCTCTGGCAGCTCTTAGAAAGCCAAAGGACTGGGAACACGGCATGGGCCCGGACGTTCCCCAGCCTCTACTGTAGCCTCAACTCAGTTCTACGTGCTCACACTGACAGCAGCAAAGGTTAATCTGGAATGGTACTACTAGACTCGAGGACTTCAGGACTCTCCTGACAGACTGACCCTCCTTGTTGCACCTGAGTCTGCAGAGGCTCACAGGAACTTCCCAAGAAGACCAGGCAAAGAACAAAGAAAAGTAAAGGTGCAGACTGAGCAGAGGCCCCACCTGGGTCTCATCCTCAGTAGGTACTCTGGCTGTGCTCTCCAGGAAGATGGGCTCCTCGTGGTCCTGAGACACATGGCCAATGGCCTGTGGGAAGAGAAAGGTGCCATCACATCCACAGAGATGTCCTGGTGACTTACAAACCATCGGCCTCTTTCAGTTCATACAAGTGTCCAAAAAAGAAAAACATATTCCTGTCTCCCTCCAGAAACAAGGCTCCCAGAGCAGGACCACAAATGCCAGCTCTCTAACAGCAAGCCTCACAGCCAGAGACGATACATACAGATTCCGATGGATGGACAGCGCATCAAGTCCAAGAATGTGCTAATCCTGCCCAGCAGTGAGGAGGGCATTAGCCACCTCCCATCACCAGTTTGTGCTCAGCTTGGACAGCTGAGTTGAAAGGTTTCTCTCTACCACATTCTCTCTTTAACAGTATGCCAAATGCCCTCCCCACAGCCTCCACCCACTACCTTGGGTCTGCCTCTGGACCAATGTCCACTAGTTTTTTCAAACACCTCATTCATGTCCTTATTAAGATCAGTCTTCCTGGCCTCAACTGACCATCACCCCACAGACGCCCCCCCCCCCATGTTCTAACCAGCAGGACATGGTACGACATACTCCAAAGCTGCTTAAGTGTGTTTAATGACTATGAGGAGCTAGCACCCTAAGACTGCAGGACACAAAGTCTCAGCTTGGGTTCCTGAAGGTTTGTTCATTCTTCCCACCCGCTCCCTCTTCTGAGACAGAATCCCATGCAGTCCCAAGCTGGCCTTGAACTCACTATGCTAGCCTCAAAATCCTGACATGCATGCCTCCATCTCCCAAGTGCTGAGATTAGGGTATATAACATCATACCTGACCTGTCTGAAGGTTCTTCATGAAAAAAATATTTCCTCTGATTCTTGTCCTTGCTCACTATACTACACACTAGAGTGTCTCTCTCTCAAAACCAAGCAAAAAGGAATGTATAGCAAGAGGTAAAACCTATCCAACAGACCAAGCAAGAGCCAGAGCTCAGGAAAGCATTACTGACCAGCTGCGGAGAAAAAACAGACTTAGGCCAACTAAGGCCTCTGCTCGGGAGTTAAATGACTGTTCTGTAGTTAGATTTTGCTATCATGTTAAGAGCTGAATGAGTGGTCAGTCCTGGCAAAGGAGGCGACTATAAACTAAAAGCATCCTTGTCATATGTGGGAAAAGAGCTGCCAGTTCTCAGCAGTTCCATGCTCCACAGACATGCTATGATAGCAGAGCCTCTCTGCAAACTAGCAAGCCCAAAGGGGGTTCTTTCATTGTTCTAGGCTCTAGATGACCAAGGAGTCAGAGACAATAATTGTGGGGCTGTGCTATAGCTCAGTGGGAGGGCCCTTTGCACACCATGCTGAAGACCTAGCACCAAAAGTAAAAGAAAAAAATCAGCCAGGCATGGTGGGGCATGCCTTTAACCCCAGGAGGCAGAGGCAGGTGGATCTCTGAGTTCAAGGCCAGCCTGGTCTGGTCTACAGAGTGAGTTCCAGGACAGCCAGGGCTACACAGAGAAAAGGAGGGGAAAAAAAAAAATCAGTGGATAAAGATCTAGGTACTAATCTTTCTGTGCCCAAGCCCTGTGACTTGCAGAATCAGCGAGGGACTTCTGCAGATCTGTGTGACACCACCACTTCTGACAAACCCCAGAGCTAGTCTCATGCTTACCCTTTCTCTGTCAGAGCTTCCTGAGGGGGAGGGTGGAGGCAGTGCATGTTGGCTATGGACTCCCTAGTCCTCAACTTGCTGCTCCTGGCTTACATTTTCCAGGCACCACTATGTAACAACGAGGCAGCTTCCAGCCCCACAGCATTGCTGACCACCGCTGTTTGCACACAGTGAGCAGGACAGCAGCAAGGCCCTTCCCAATGCGTCCCATCTCTCGCCAGTTAGATCAGTCAAAAGGGCAGTAAGCTGGAGGGCAATATGGAACCCAACTAGAGATGATAATGATTTTCCTCAAAGTATTTCTGAAGCAATGGGAAAAAAAAATTAAGTCTAATTAGGGGATGAAGGTATCACAAACAAACCGTACAAAGACACGGTACTAGGCCTACCATTCCTGAAGCCAAAACTTGAGCCTAATGATCAGAAAATAATCACTTCTAGAATCAACAAGCAAAAACAGTCCCGGAGCAGACAGAGAGGTGAAGAGGCTGCGTGGTGGCTCGTACCTGTGGCGTTCCCTGATCCTGGGCTAAGGGAACAGAGGTGACTTGTGTGGGTGAAGAAGGGAGGCCAGGTGAGGTAGGAGGTACTGTGGTGGTTTGAGGCTGGGTCAGGAAGGCCTGCTGCTCAGGGAAGGCCTGGGGCAAAGTGGGAGCACGAGTCCTGTCCGCCTCAGAAATTACAGGCTGCTGGCCAAGCACCAGAAACACTAGCTCTTCTTTCTCCCGGCACATTTCGGTAGAGATGTCGTGGAGGTGGAGATAGTCCCTCAGGTCCTTCACCTTCATCTTCATGAGCTCCTCTCGCTGAAAGGCCGTGGCGCGGAACCGTAGGCAGAGAAGGCAGAGCCGTGGCCCATTCCCCTCTTGGCTTGAACAAGTCATGCAGAAGTTTTTCTTACAGTCCAAGCAGGTCTGCTGCTTAGAGCAAGAGACAGGAAAGCATGTCAGCTTGAAGGGGCAACGCAGTGGGGACTGCAAGGCCACCAGTGGCCAGCAGGACATCCCACTGTCGCTCTTGCTCTACTCAACTGTTCCCTAGATCCCAGGCAAGAGACATACTACAGTTTTTCAGATTAAAGGCCACTTGGAGGTGGCAGGCCCTGTGTCTGCATCCACCAACAGGAAACCTGACATTTATATACCGTGTGTATACACAACAGAATAACAGAATCACTTACATTTATAATTTTATTTAAGGCTTATGAGATTTTAAATTCATTCTCTCTCTCTCTCTCTCTCTCTCTCTCTCTCTCTCTTTCACACACACACACACACACACACACACACACACACACACACACACACTCACACACAAACCTGGAACTATTAATAGCAATGCCATATTTGGAATACAAGGGCTTTGCGTTTTTATTCACGTCTCCATCTCAAACGCCTCACAGAGTCATCCTGGGTATGTTACGTGGGGCTCTCTGCTGCTCAGTTTCTCTTCTGTGAGAAGCGGGTGAGACCAGGGCTTCTCTCCTGGGGTCATTGTGGAGATAGAGAAACAATTCATTGAGGCACACCTGATACACAGCAGGTCCTAAAGAGAGGAGCTGGGATCGAGCTCCTATCTGTGCTCCTTTCTATCTCACTGCTGAGGAAAGCAAGCAGACCTAAGAGAGTTACAGAGGTAAGTTTCTGCTGTCAGCTGGATTTGGTTGTTTTGAGGGCCTTTTACAAGCTAGGCAAGTGACCGACCACTGAGCTACATCTCCAGGGTTTTTGCGATAGGGTCTCACTGTGCAGCTCAAGCTGAGATGACAGGCATATGTCACCATGCTCAGCTGACAGCTATTGTTAACACTGGGGTCAATAGAATCTATTGTGATGCTACAGTAAGATTGGATTGTCATTTCATTCTCAAGCCCTTTACAAGGTATTAGCGTCCTTCCCTGACTTACACAGAGAGAAACCAAGAATCAGGGGATCAGGAATTATATTCAAGGTCAGATAGTAAAGGTAGAGCTGGGCCTAGTCCAGCGGCCTCAATCATGCCATCCCAGGTGCCCACAGTGCCTTCCTGAGCCCCACACAAGCAGCCAACGGAACCGAATCAGAGACCCGGCTTTCTACTTCCTAATCAGTAGTACCCTGTCCACAGAGGCTGCTCGCAGGTCTCCCTGCTCCAGCAAGGCCAGTCAGAGTGCTGGGGAGTAGACGGTACGTGAGGTCATTTCAAGATAAAGATTTGGATAGGACAAGGGACCGGGATGCTAGCTTCTCTCCTTTGTGAAAGCATACAGTGTCTCAGTTTAGAGACAAGCGTGACTGCCCCGCAAGCTGGTACTGCCTGGTGCAGCCCCTCCCACCACCGTCCCAGACAGGACACCGAGGTTGTTCAAGCTGCAGACTGTGCAAGCACACTGACATCTGAGCTCTGCTGGAACTAGAGACAGTCTCCTAAGAGGTCATTCCTGAACACACTGGGCACGTGCTCAGAAGGTTAGGAGCTTTCCATTTCATGGTCGCTTAGCTACTACATCAGCGTTCGTGTTTCTGCATCTCTTTTTCTCAATATGGAAAGCTGTTCAGGTACAAAAAGGACACCCGAGTCAGAGTCTCAGAGGCAGGGTCAGGGCAGCCTTTGTGTGGGGCTGAAGTGTCCACAGAGTTAAGAGAGTTCTCATTAGTGTTTGTCTACGTGTCAGCCACCTAGTCCAGACAAAGCATGAAAACTTGAGCGCTGCATGGGGACACACACCAGCGTCCTCTCTACTCCGCTATGACCAGACAGTAAGGAAGCTGTTCAGAGATTTAAAAGGACATGCGGCCACACAAGCAAAGAACAGCTGTGACCAACAGCCACGCAAGTGGAAAATGGGAGTTCTGAGTATTTGGGGTGCAGAATGCCTGGCTGAAAAGGAGGCTGCAGTGTTGTGAAGCTGTGGTCCCCATGTGGAATGTTATCTAAGTCAATGCAGTTTGACAAGACCCAGCTTGGCACAGCTATGAAGCTTGTGTTGTTCCATCAGCCAGATCCAAATATCTCTCTTCTTCAAATGTGTGTAGTGTCTGGATGTAAGATCAGAAGGTAGGGATGGCAACCCAGATCCTGCTGCCCCTGAAACCCGAGGACTCTGAAGCAAACCTGCCTCTGAAACAGCTCCAAAGTGGAGGGAAGCGCTTGAGGCTAAAATCTTTGAATATGTTGGGGGGTGGGGGAGAAGGCTGTCAAAAAAGGAGGGGAGAATGAGCAAAGGAAAGGCCTGTGTGAACTCTAACAAACGAGACATGCCAGAGTAACAAGAAAAAGGTACTGGGCCTGTCCTGAGACTCCTTTGTCAAGAGCCTGCCTTGGCCAGGCACCACTCCCCTTGGCTTTTCCCCTTCACCAGGCTGGCCTGAAACAAATTCCCTGGAAGTACACAGACCAATACTCTCAATCCTGCTGGCTCCGGAACCACTGAATATCAGAGACAGTTTATAAAAAAATAAAAACCCAGTGTTTCAGGCAGAGGAAGGCATCGCCCCCTATTTCTCTCTTTCCCCTCTGGTCCAACTCAGCTCTCAACACCAAAAGGCCACTCTTCTGCTCTGAATTTGAAAACTATGCCCGAGTTCGAACCAAGTACAGTCTCCTCTGCCACCTCATGCTAGTCCAGCTGAAGAGACTGGGCACCAGAACTCACTCTGAAACTGTTGGGCCACTGCAACACCACACCCGAGCATCACCAGCACAGCCAGCTTGTGGCAAAACTGCCCCTTCTCTCCCTAGGGGTCCCAGGGGAGACACCTTACCTGTATTATCTCTACAAGTCTTTGCTCTTGTCTGTGTTTTATACACAGTAAGCATACAGAAAATAATGACCACAAGGACAGGAGGGGAGGGGAGGGGAGGGGAGGGCAGGGGAGGGGAGGGGAAGGGTGGGGAGGGAAATGGGAAGGAAAGGGAAAAGGAAAGGAAAGGAAGGAAACAATGGCAGGACTCAAGTAATCAAGTCAATTCAACTACTTGTAGAGAAGCTATCTTAAAAGCCGCCTCTGTCTAGGAAACGCCAAACCCTTAAGAAGGCCGATCCATTTAAGCGTGAAATTACAAATAAAAAATACTTGCAGCAGAAATTATCTTTAACCTTCACAAAAATCACTGTGAATTGCACAAAATTAATTTACAATTTACAGCAAGAAAACATTGCACCAATGACATCTTTCATCCTCAAAACTAGGATCTGTCTGTCTCCCCCATGGAGTGCTTCAGGTCATGGGGGCCTTTCTCTGTCTGACTATGTGTACCCTGCCTTGACTGCTCTGTCCTGCTGCAAGCTCCCTAAGCAGGGGCCGCCTTTCCTTCATCCCCATCCACCTAGCCCCACACCATGTCTGACACCAGCTAGAATTGAGCTCTTATTTCTAGTGTGGGAGGAAAGCAATTTCATCATCCCCACGTTCCCGAGAACCTGTCATCCTCCGCTCAACATCCCAAATGTCTTCTATGGGTTGCTTGAAGTCTAGGGTCTGAGTTTAAAACTATAGGATAGTGAAGTATTGTTTATGGGAAAAAGAATGACTACGTTGATGTCTCTTGCTGGTTACCAGGAACCTGACATGTACAGTTTTCTATTTTTAAATTTTAAACTCTAAGATTTTGTCACTTGTAAAACAGGCTTTGGTAGTTTCTAAAGCTACTGCTGTGAGGATTAAACGAAAGAAACAAAAAAAAAATCTAAATTAAAAGATATATATATATATATATATATATATCTGAGGCTGGAGAGATGGCTCAGAGGTTAAGAGCACTGATTGTTCTTCCGGAGGTCCTGAGTTCAATTCCCAGCAACCACATGGTAGCTTATAACCAACTATAATGAGATCTGGTACCCTCTTCTGGCCTGCAGGTATACATAATAAATGGATACCTTTAGTCCCAGCACTTGGGAGGCAGAGTAGGTAGATCTCTTTGAGTTCAAGGCCAACCTGGTCTACAAAGCAAGTTCCAGCCGGACAGTGGTGGCACACGCCTTTAATCCCAGCACTTGGGAGGCAGAGGCAGGCCGATTTCAGAGTTCGAGGCCAGCCTGGTCTACAGAGTGAGTTCCAGGACAGCCAGGGCTACCCAGAGAAACTTCGTCTCAAAAAACCAAACAAAAATCTAAGCAAAATATAGTGAGTGGTATTCTTCACACCTGTAATCCCAGCACTTGGGAGTCTGAGGTTGGCTAGATGAAGGCAGTGAAGGCGAGGCTAGCTTGGGTTACAGAGTTAAGACCCTGTCCCAACAACAACAACAACAACACAAAGTCTTAGTGAAATTATAAGTCTAAATTTTTTGTTGTTGTTTGAAACAGAGTTTCACTACATAGCTCAGGATGACCTCAAAATCACATCAGGCAAGGTTCACCACTGTGCTAAAACCTTCAACAGTTTCTCACACACAGTACAAAGTTTAAAAAGAATCACTTCCCCTTGGTTTCCCATGGCCACCGTTTCATCCTTGAATCCTACCAGTCACTCTGCATTACAAACTTCCTGATCTGCAGGACATGTGCTCCCTGAGGCACTTGCAAAGGGCCACCCAGACGCCACCGCAGCCCACTGCAGTTGGTTATGCCAGTGAGCAGGTTCCAGACTCTCTGCTAGGGTTTTCCTGTCTCTCAGGAAACTCTGACAGGCTTGTGATAATGAGGACAAGGTTAACTTGCAGCCAGGTTTGTATGTGACAGTTAAGTGTCAATATCTGCCATGTTTCCAGCATGGTACTGGGCCCTTAGCGGCCTTATTTCATTCCCAGCACTAGAAAGGGCACCTCACAGACAGTTCAGTCATACAGCTAGTGAGCAGTGAGGTTGCTGTCTGAGTTCAGGGGTCTATGCTGAGATGCTTTGCCTTCACTTGGAACAGTTGTTCTTGAACATTCTAGGATAGGCCTGGGTCCCCAGACCACAGAGGTACAGATCAGGTAGCTGGCCTGAGGTCCTGGGGTTCTGATGCAATAACACTTACCTTCCGGGTTGTGCTTGCGAAATGGACCCCACAGGCCTTGCAGCTAGGTTCCGAGCCTGTGGGGGAAGGGAAGGAGCTGTACCCAGGGTTGGAATAGGCTTGTGTCCTGGCTCCCTGTGGTGGTGGTGCTTCCTCAGGCTGTCCATCCAAGCAGAACCAGTTGCAGCAGGATGCCCACATGATAAAATCTGACACAGGAGGGGAAGAGGTAAGAGTTAAGATGTACCACCACTGCACTTTTATCCCTGTGTGCACAGGCAAGGCAGGATACATGCTCCACTCCAGTGACTGTGAAGCCATAACTTCAGGGGCCATGGAAGGCTTGGATCATCATCTCCCACCAGAGTTAGTGTTCCAAATGTTGAAGACATTCGATCTTCCAGAGCAAGGTGAGCTACCATGCTGCTAGAAAACCTCTATAAGGTTGCCTCGTCCTAACTGGTTTAATCTGAAATCTTGCTTCGTTAAAATTCATTCTTACAATTACAACCTGCTTAACACCAATTTTATTCAAGGGCATTGACTTGCCCTGAAGCTCAGAAAGAACTTTCTCTCACACACACACACTAGCCATGGAGGGCATGTATTGTAAATGGGCAAAGCCAGACGCAGTGACACACGCCTGTAGTCCCAACTACCTGACTAGTTGAGACAGAATAGGGTAACTTGAGCCTGAGCAACATAGCAAGTTCTCTGAAAAAAAAAAAAATAGTACATAAACAGCATCCCTTTAATTCAAGCACTCAGGAGGCAGAGGCAGGTAGATCTCTGAGTTTGAGGCCAGCCTGATTTATGAGTGAACTGACACTGCACAGAGAAACCTCATCTTGGAAAACTAAAAAAGTATACAAACCAGCCAGACTTAAAGAAGCATATTGCTAACACCCAGAGACCAACTAGAATGCTGAGACTGTAAAAGCCCAGGTCTCTGACTCTAAATCCTCGGACTTATCCGTAAACAATGTTATCTTTTGACTTTCCCTCCCACTAGCCTATACAAGTAATCTCTTAATCCACACTCCTGCTCTGCTAAGCTTCTATGACTGCAATGTTCGTTTTAAAGATTCATCTTATTTATGTGTACCCGTGTCTGTGTGAGTGGATGCCACATGTGTGCAGGAGCCGTAAAGACCAGAAGAGGGAGCTAGAGTTACAGGAGGTTGTGAGCTGCCAACAAGGTGTTGGGAACAACTCAGATCCTCTACCAAGAGCTTTTCTTTGAGCTGAGCCATCTCTCTAGCCCTGAGGCAGCACTTCTAAAGGTTCCTACACAGGTCATTTACTTTCTGCTCATACACTTCAGCTCATTGAGGGCAGGGGGAACGGCTCCCCAGTGTCTATACTGGAACCCAGTGGTGCTCTGCATGTAACAAATACCCAACTATGTTGGGTCCTTGTCAATCAGTGCCTCTGTGGTTTAACTAAGAGTGTTTTACCTACTTAGGTATTGACGGTGAGGTTGACTTTTAAGTTCACAGAACCAAACGTATCCAAGCCCTCAAATGTTAGAAGCACTACTGGGAGGCCTGAGTGCGTCCCCACAGGGTCTACTAAACACCAAGCACTGTGGGGAGACATGAGTGCGTCCCACAGCAGAGCAAGCGGTCAGCTGCATGAACATTCTGAGCCTGAGCTCTTTGCTCAAAGAGATACTGGATGAAACAGCTAGTGTTGTTATCCAATAATCCACACACACAAATGGATACTTCCTGCACTGTCTCTTTTTAACGAAGGTATTTTCATAGTTCAAAGACAGAAATGGGAAGGAACTAAGAGGCAAATCACTCTAACACTGGTCATTTTATAGAAGAAAGAGCAGGGCACAGCAGGAAAGGGAGAATGCAGGGTCCCAGTGGGTCACAAATTTAGGCATCCTGACTTTTCTAGAATGTTTTAGATTTTCTAACATGGCCTCTGACACACCCATGATGTAGGTCATTTTCTTCTATAGGCACCTTGGGTTAGCACCCCGTTAGCATTCTGTCTAAACTCCACCCCCAGAGTTACCTGGCAACAGCCAGGCAGACCTGGCCCACTATAAAAGGGGCTGCTTGCCCCCTCCTCTTTCTTGCTCTTACTCTCTTGGTCCCTCTGCCCCTTCCCCCTTCCCTTCCCCCTTCTCCCCAGCTCATGGCTGGCCTCTACTCCTCCCTCTCTCTCTCCCTCCCTCCCTCCTCCTCCTCTTTCTCTTCCTCCTCCTTCTTCCTCTCTCTCTCTCTCTCTCTCTCTCTCAATTCCCCTCCCCATGCCTTGAATAAATTCTATTCTATTCTATACTATACTGGTATGCGGCTGGTCCCTGGGGGAAAGAGATGCCTGCCTTGGCATGGGCCCGCTGAGACATCCCCTTCCCCCATACCTCAACATACACACCTACACAGAACACACGCTTTCTCTTTTTATAAACACATCACACCCGACTCCTTGACCACGACTCCTGTGAGTAAAGGGAATGTGACAGTGTCCAGGCTGTTGCCCAGGTAGCTTGGTAAGGGTTGCTGACTAGTCAAGCCATCTTGGCTAAGCACACACCAACACCATCTGTCCTTCTGTCTGTCACGTACCAGAGTGGCTAAGTTACCAGGTAAGAAACCCAATCTGCCTTACTGCAAATTCACAGCACACATGGTGTGATGGTAAAGACCATGTTGTGCACGCATCGTAAGTTCAAGTAAAGGAGTTTCTGTGGAGTTTGTTTTGAGCAGGGTCTCAAGTAGCCCAGGCAGTTCTTAAACTCGCTACATAGCCAAGATGTCTTAGAACTCCTCAAGCTCCTGCCTCCATTTCCCAAGTGTACCACCACACACAGCGTGAATGCTCAGCCTAAAAGGAGGTCTTTGTTGGCAAGACCATGAGTGGCAATTCCCTGAAAAGGAAGTTCTACAGTTCTTTAAATCACATGTTAATATGTCCGAGTATATGCAGACAGGGAGGGCAGAGTCCCGTCCTGCTCTGCTGCCTGTGGGCTGGGCTGTCCACCTCTAACCTGTGACACCTCCTCTGTACTTCATGTTTGTCCTCTGACACTCTACAGCACAGCAGAGCACTCGACGCATATTAGTTGCTTCTGTCTGCACTGTAAAAATGCTGTTCACTACAGTGTCCTCAAGTAAGACAAAGGAAGACTGTAAACTTAGGTTTCCCTAGCTTACCATGTGGCTTTCTGGGCCTGTCTGCATGGCACAAAGCCACTAGTGACTCAGTAATTTCTGTTAAAACCTCGCCTTAGCCAGGCATGCAGTACACGCCTTTAGTTCCAGCACTTCGGGAGGCTGAGCAAGGCAGATCTCTGTGATCTCAAAGGCAGCCTGGCTGATGGTTTAAGTCGTGGGCTAGTCAGAGCTCCCTGTAAGACTCTGTCAAAAAAAAATAAACCAAGAACAGAAGAAAATCCCCTCGATTCATACCCACATGTAATTGTCCCTAATGCCAATCCCTTTGTCCCTTCCCAGTGCTCAGTAGCCGTCCCTAGGGAGTTAATGGTCGACCCGAGTTGACAGTAGTCTAATGGAGGTTTGGACAAAGTATGGGGGGTTGGGGGGTGGGGGAGTGAGGCTAGAAAAAACATGCAGAGGCAAGACAAGGAAATAGTTCACAAATAAAGGACCACATCTTGATGGGGCAGCAGGGAGAGTTTGCCAGACAGTCAGGAATAGAAGCATTTTCTAAGACAAACAAAAATAAATGATATGCACCATAAAGAGAGAAAACTACAAGATGCTTAGTGAAGCTGGGGTGGGAGGGGGTGGATGAAGTATAAACAACTTCACCAGGAGCCGTGGAAAAAATCCTGGATTCCAGGGGAAGGAAGCAGGACTTTATGGTGATAACCTTACTTGATATGTGAGTTAGGTTGATCAAAAATTGAGTTTTAAGAGGCAGAGACAGGCGGATTTCTGAGTTCGAGGCCAGCCTGGTCTACAAAATGAGTTCCAGGACAGCCAGGACTACACAGAGAAACCCTGTCTCAAAAAAACAAACAAACAAAAAAAAAATTGAGTTTTACACCTATGGCACATGCATGTCCATGTGTGCACATCTAGGCAGAAGATGGGGATTTAGGAATGTTTGATGTACTGGAAATCCACAGAGCCAGAGTGGGGCAAGAGACTGATTAAGGTGCTCTGGGGAATGTGAAGCTCTGAGAAAGGCAAGTGAGGAGAGCCGACCAGGGACACCAGGGACACGCAGAGGATGCTCACAGGTGGGAGAACCAGAAGAACACTGCTTCAAAGAACTGAACAGTGCTGGTTAAGAAGCCCAGAGAGGGGGACACAGTCAGGAACTCAAACTCAAAAAAAAGTCTCAAGTCCTTTGCCTTAACAAAGTGCATGTGCTTTGCTCGGGCACTTAGGAGGAAAGCAGCTGACTAGTGACCACAGGGAAGAGAAGGAGAAATGAGACTCCAGGGTGCTGTGACGGTTAGCTATCTGGAAGGCAGAGCGAAGGCAGCAGCTGGAGAGGACCCAGGGTCGCTAGTGTAAGTGCAGGCAAACAGGTCACAGATGAAGAAGGGAAGCCATCAGCCACCAGTGAGGGGAGCAAGGTCTAGGGGGACAAGAAATGTGATCAGGCAAGGGACTAGCACACTCCTAGACAGGGGGCAGCCATCTTCCGCCACTGTGGAATGGAGATGAAGGAGGAGGAACCAAGAGCAGCTGGTAGCACTGCCGACATCAGAAAAGTAAAAGAGTAAAATACAAAGAGGGGCCAGCCTTGGCTACTTATTATTTCTGGGGATTCAGTGCAGAGGCAGAGTATTTAGTGTGCACGCAAGGACCTAGGCTCGTCCCATCTCCATCATGACAAAGAGGTAAGGATTCCTAAAAACAAACAAACGAAGAAAAAGGCAAGGGCTCTGTCACGTGAGCAGGAGAGCTACACTGTGAGGTACAGGCAGCGCAGAAACAAAAGCCTGCATGTCGGACTCCACCAGCCTGAGAAGCCCTTAGGAAGAAGCAGCCTCTATGATGAGGCACTGGGACTGGACAAGGCCGACAACCACCAGACCTGGGGGCCCAGAAAGACACTAGAGCTGCCATCAGCCACAGTGATATAAGGTCAGGCACACTTCTAGCTAGGAGGCAGGGCAGCACAGCTTCCTCCATAGTCTGTCTCTCCAACCTCAAGAGCCTCTTCTAAACATCTTAAAAGAACAGCCTGCTCATCTGTTCTGAAAGGAAGCAGA